ATGATTATTTTGTTTTTCTTATCTTGCATGCATTTATTGTTATATACATTTCTTTGAATCATTTATCACCAATGACCAATATTATGTGTAGACAGAAAGATTCATAGATGTATCATATATTTTTGGTTACACAGAACATAACAAGAACCCTTTTATATAAGAATCTAATTTTTGTTTAAAACAGGTTAAAAGAACGTTTTCCGGGCCCTCTAGTATTTTATTACCGCCTCTGTGGCCAAATCGTCAAACGTATTGCCTAGCATTGCGTTAAGCGCGAGATGTACTGGGTTCGAATCCCGGGGAAAGTAAATTGTTTCGGTCAGACAGGGCACAGAAGTTTGATCAACTTTTGAACTCGCCCGTTAAAAGAACGGATCAGTGAAACGGACACAGAAATGTGTTCGCCCCATGCCCCACGAGCGGGAAACGGGCATTCACACTGTTCACTAGTATTTTATAATTATCTCATTCGATATAAGATTATTCTGTTCAATTCTATTTGGTTTATATAAATCTGGAGCTAGTAGGTATCGTTTGGGTTCCAAGGGACGTTTAAGATATCGAGTTCAGACCGGCAATTAGGTAGTTTAGTAAATTATTATTGTACATTCTGCTTCCACTACTGCGGTGTATATGCCAAATAAACATATATCAAGTATTATTTTATAATAATGATACAAGATAAGCTATCGAAAGTGCTTATTAGGTTAAAGTTAAAATTAAAATGCGTTACTGTAACGCAAAAATAAAAAAAAATGCATAACGTAATAACAAAACAAACAACGTAGCGTAACACAAGGTAATATACAACCATACAATATTTTTTATTTAAATAATCAGGTCCCACTCTCTTAGAATAATTTATATCATTGATGTTGCTCCCCAGGATTTAACTTAGGACTTCAAGCGCTAAACGAGATTTTTAAATTGATATTCTGTTAATCGGGTTGATGCTTGATCAAAATTTTAACATACCATTCAACATTTACAATACTAATAGAGTTTCAAAAAGGTATACAGGAACAGTTGTAACAAAGGACATAATTTTAAATATCAACTAAAACACTTCAACGGTTTAAAACGCGATATATTAGTCAAATTTATTTGAAAATCATTTTAACCTGACGTTTCTAGTTCCTGACTAGTAGTTAGCCTCCCCGTGACCACGGCTGTTAAAATAATAAACGTAGTTAAAATAATTTTCAAATAAGTTTAACTAATATATCGCGTTTTAAACCGTTAAAGTCTTTTATTCAAGTGTGTACCGCGTAAATCTGTTTTTAATAACAAGTCCGAACCCAATAGAACAAAATAAAGTTTAGTGCCGTGGTAAAAGTTAAATAATTGCTTCCACAGATAATTAAAGCTATATAAGCAAGGCCTAATACGCAGATATTTTCGATGTAGCCGACGATTGTGCGTGTGACACGCGATCATTGTGTGACGTCACTTTACAAGATTGTCTAAAGATTCTAAAATTGGCACGCTTCGTGTTCTATGGGACCTCTTAACATCTTTGTTGGCTTAATGCTGTTCTTGCCAAACCCATGGTTCAGTTGTTTTTAATGGTAGAGGAGGACAGATAATCATGGGGTTCCCTTCATGGTAGGTGATATACCCAGCCTATAGCATGTAAACAAGATGCGTTATCGACCTAATTTGGATTTGGATATTCTGAAATCCACAGACTGAAACCGAAACGCGATGAAGCTTTACGGCTTTCCCATCATTCGACGGTGGTTCGTGACCCAGACGGAATATCTGGTCCTACCGCCCATTTAGTATCCAGATTTTCAGACGAAGTCCAACGTGTTTCAGAAAAATTATAAATTGATTACAAAATATCACCAGGTCGAACTCACGATTCGTTGATTATAAGCCATACGTTGCTATTATTAGACCAACGTTACCGTCGAATAGTCGTCGTTCTGTTAAGCAGGAAAGATCGTGTGTTCGATTCCAGAAAAACAGAACAGTGTTTTGAACTCAACGCAAACTGACATTGTAAATTTATTTTAAATACTATAAATTATAATTAAAAATTAAATCTTGGCGTTTCACAATTAATCCTTCCTGTACTAAAACAAGATTGAAAGAAGATAGTCCAAAGAAGATAACGGCCATCGTTCAGCTTATCCATCAGCAGGTGTTAGCTCCTCGACTCCTCGAGGAATGGCGAAACGTCGAGAACCTCTTCTCGCTTACATCGGCCGAACAGCCCGAAAAACAGTGATAAGCTTTGTTCAGGGTGTCTAAAGAGATGAAAGTTTTGAAAAATGGAACAGACGCAGAATTAAGCCTGCTATTTCAAATAATGATAATCCACCTCTCGATATCCTAGTCAGTACTGATCACAATACTTTTAACATTTGTTGATGATATTGAAAACAGACAATTAGACCGGCTTTGCGCGAGTACTTACTGAGTTGAAGTACGTAAGCTTACTTAATTGCAACTCTGAATTTTGGAGCATATTTGAAGTGCTCTCCTCAACGTGCAGTTAGCAGGAAAATCGTTTATAAACAGACCTATTGAAATTCACAAATTATCAAACTCATATTAGCAATATATACAATTTATATTGAATCAAATTGAAACTAATTTTATATAATGGTTCATTTATATAGTCTATGTCTGGTTAGGTTTAAACTTTGTAAAAATAACGCGGACTTTCGATGAGCTCGTTGGTCTAACAGCATTGCATGGCTAATAAAATATGGGTCGTGGGTTTGACCCCTACCGGGTCCAGTATATTTCTAATAAATTTATATTTCTTCTGATGCATGTTGGATTTTATAGAAATGTAGGTATTAAATGGGTGATATGAATATCGAAATTCCTTCCGGGTCACGATCCACCGTCCACAGATGAAAAAGCCGTCACGTTTTATTGCGTTTCGGTTGCAGTCTGATGATTTCCGAATATCAAAAGCCAAAATAGGTTGTTGACCGCATCCTGCTTAGATGTTATATGGCTGGGGTATGCCACCATCAAATGGACCGAATCTCATACAATCAGCAAAACTTAGCCTACAAAGAATTTTAAATTTTTTAACATATTAAATTTTTAAACCGTTTGCGTACTACTCGCGTATACTACAGACAGTGAATTAGACCAATTTTCTGATCAAATTTATTTCTTTGGGTTAAACAGACTTTTATTCTATTCCCGGGATTCAAACCACGACCGTTTCCAACTTAAAACGTTTTACCATCAAGCCACGCTTTTGTTACAAATATAATAATTATATTGTTATTTAAATGGGCACACTATAAAGTTAAAAATGTATTTTAACGCATATTTCTCCCGTAACAACTGAAAGAGCGAGCGACACAACATTTTTGTGTAATTAAAATAACCGAGGGATAATCATAGGACTTTGCACTGTATTAATATTTTTTCGTTTTCAGTTAAAAGTAACTCTACATGCACTGTATTAAATAAATACGTTTCACTAAAAAAGCCAGAAGTCTATTTTTTCAGCAACTAACGGAATTACTTTCACATTTGACCGTAACTCTTTGAGTTCAGGCAAACATAGGGTCGACTAGATGAAAGGTGATATCCTCAATACGCAATTAAGATGCGATGCTATTTGGTTGTACATTCCGAAATCCGTAGACTAAAATCCATTTGCACTTTACGGTTTTACATTTAAGAGCGGTTTTAAGCCGGAATGGAATTTCAACATTCTGACTACAGTAACATCTTCCCGGAATCACGGTTTGCGGCTTAAAATCTCGAGTTCGACTTAGAGTGCTTTTAACTATAGTCTAATACTAGTCGCGATATAAACAGTTAAATTTGTATAGTTGAATGTAAACTCCTCGCTTACAACTACAGACATTGTTTATTTCTTTTCTTTATATATATTCAATTACTATTTAGAAAAAAACATATTTCTTCGTAGCTTAAACAAAAAAAATCATCATGGATAAATAATAATAATATTAGCAGATAAAAAGATGACTTATGTAAGGTAAGATACTTATTTCCTAAATTCATTGAGTAGATATTTAATAACATATTGATTTTACCTGCTACGCACGACTACCGTCTTACGTAGGAGTGTTTTGAGGGAGATTAAGCCCACCGCATTGCTCCAGTGTGGGTTCATAGGCTTTACTACCGCTTTGGTGGTAAAAAGGATCGACGGCTTAGAGCATATGTATTAAAAAAACTGAACAATATAATTTTCGCCAGAACCAAACGATATGCCGCCGAGTATATCGTACCAAATAAATTCAAAGTAGTTAATTCTAGTAAATAATTATAAACATAATAGTATTTATATTAATTTAATAAAAACTTTACTGATTTAATAAAATTTTTTTGTTTCTTTGAACGCGCTAATCTAAGAAACTACTGGATCGAATTCAATTTTTTAATATTGGTTAGGCCATTTACCGGGAAGGCTTTACGCTATATAACATCACGCTGCGACCAATCCGTGTAAAGAAACAGTAGGAAATGTGGAACAAACAAGGAAAAACATTCATCGTTTCGGGTTTCCGTTGCGTGCCCTACCAAAACACTTTAAGACACCCAAAATATATGTGTGAAAAAATGTTTCCCCTTTAAGCGATCTAAAAAAATGTCCCTTCACTATATTGTGTAAGTTTTAAGATGAGGAGGTTTGCAAAAACAAGTATTGATGCCCAAAATAACTATTCTACGCGAACGAAGTCACGGTCACGGCTATGTATGTTTACTATATGTTGCTTATTGTATATCGATCTTTGACTTAATTACATTACTTTACTAAACTTCACTCTTTTCCCTCTATACCCGGGTCAGTCTGAAAACCGGTGCTGCTGAGTGTGACAATCACTCAGCAGGACAGCTGAGACTGGTACCGATAGCCGTCTCTTATGTATTTATTATTTATATATATTTTTTTATTCACGCTATTTATAACTTATAGATATCCTATAATGGCAATTAAAGTTTTGACTTTGAATATTATAGTTCTATTATTTACAAATAAAAGCAGAACTTACTTCGTTTTTTTCAGAGCTCTGGTGGCGTTTTCGTAATGTTGAGTCCTGGTGTTTCAAGGGTTGCACTGGATCTTCGCCCGACACCGCTCGTTGGTACGAAAGCCTTCGCCCCTTCGTGTCTGTCCCCAGGGCACACATGTCATTCTCTGGTATACTTAAGAAGTCTTGATTCGAGTGGTAGCTCTTAATTTTCTCCTTACTCTTTTCGTCCTGTATCACTCGTCTGAAGTAGTTAGTTAACCCTTCGCTGGCTAGCCATGTTACTCTGAAAAAATAAGGAGAATTAAAAATACATGCCACGAAAGAGTGTTTATTTTTGCAGGAGGACAGAAAATTAAGATGAATTGGGGGGGGGGAAAAAAAAAAAAAAAAAAAAAAAAAAAAAAGGGGGGGGGGGGGTTTTTTTTTTGGGGTTTGGGAAAACCCCCCCCGAAAAAAGGGGGAAGGGTTATAAAAATTCACGGCTTTTTTCATCTGTGGACAGTGGTTTGTAGTCCGGACGAAATTTTGATATTTGATTTAACACACATTTAATTTCCAATGTTCCAATTGGAAGTCAACATGTTTCAGAAAAATATTAAATTCATTCGATAATCCTTGGATTTATTAAACATTGAAAGAAAACACTTATAACGGTTTAAAACGCGAAACATATTAGTTAACTGCAAAGCGTCCCTAATTTTCACGCTGAACGTATTACGATCAACTTATATATAACCGATATTATTGCAGTTCAAATCACACGCGTTACATTATCTCTAAGCATGTGAGGGAACAAATTCATTTATTTCATAAACATTTTTATTAACGGTTAAGTTCTTAATAACTTTATAAAATTCAAGTATAAAGCTTCTTTTTAATCTAACGTGGTCCGACAAAATCTGTGGGATTATTATCCCGACTTTATCAAGCGAAATCTTTATATAACGGTGCAGTGACGAACGCAACCCGATGTGGTCTTTGCGGTTCCAATTCAGAGCTTGAATAATTTTGGAATGCATAGGATTTTGAATCTTTACATACGTAAATATTACACAAACATTTATATTCATCTCTACAGTCACTCTTTTTCTAATAAAATAACGAATTTATTGTTTGTTGGTATTTAATTCACTTCAATGTATAAGAATCTATTAATTAAAATAACACTTTCAACTGTTTAAAACGCGACAAAGTTAACTTATTTACAATTGATTTTAACCACGGTGCGATGTTTCGGATGCTGTTTAGTTAACATTTCGCGTTTTAAATCGTCGATAGTGTTGTTTTTAAATGTGTAACGTTTCCTCGGGTTTTAAAATCCTTTAAACTCGTTGATAAGCATTTAAATAAAACACTTGTGACGGTTTATATCGCGAAATACATCCAAAATGTGAGGCCGTAGTTAATGTGAATTGTGGATAAGGTAACTAATATCTTACGCGTTTAAAACCATCATAATTGTTGACTACTCGCGTACACTACAGACAGCATTAATATATTAATTTAATTGGCAGTTGAGACAAGTAAAGTAGATATTGTGCATAACGCGTCGCCATTGTCAATAACAACGTATCCGATATAAATATTTAATATGTTTAATCGCAGAGTGTGCTTAAACAACAGACTAAGGGAATAATTAAGCAATGCCACCCACGAGCGCGACTTGGAGTGACATGTTGATGAACAATACGTTGTGTGTAACCTGGTTTAGATGTCTATTTACCCTTTTTACATGTTCGCTAATCTTAAACACTGTAATAGATCGTAAAGTACTAAATTTGAATGTCGAATAAAAATGACGTTATAAAATTTAATTTGAAAATGGAATTTCGGCAAAAATTCATCTGAAATAATTAAACCCTGATTGGTGTCGAAAATACTTAAACATGAGACATCATAACAGCTTTTTATACAACTGAGTAGTGCTTTGATTAAATAACTTTTATAAATATTTTATTGTTTAAGTAATAAGACTACTTTAAACTTGTTTGAAAACGACGTTTCGGATACTTTGCAGTTATAGTGTTTTATTTAAATATGTACTACTCGCGTAAACTACAGACAGTATAACTTTAAGCGCTAATCTAAAAAGAGATATATTTTCATTTAAATATAAATATAGACTCCTATATCCTAACTAAATCAAACCTACGTTTCTGCCCAAGTAGTTAGTATCGATTTTAAGCAAGTTTTACTTGTATCACGCGCGACGAGTAAAATTTTTCACTACGAACTTTTTTACTTCGTAACTTCTTCGTCTCACTTGCGTCCATGTTCAATATTGCACTTTTTACGGTATAATCCGCACAAAAATAGTGAAACGTCGGGCCGTAGTTAAATTAAAATGTATATTCAGTTTAACAAATTTTAATTTTAATTTGAAGTGTTTTAGCAAATTTAATTAAAAATGTAACTTTGGCAAGCACTAACGGTTTAAGACGTAGTGTTTTTCCCGTAACTACGGCTACGCATCCGAAACGTCAGGCCCTAGCTAAACTATTTTCAAATAAGTTATAGTTTGCGTTTTAAATTGTTAAAGTGGTCTTAATTCAAATGATGAATAACCTATTCGCTCTGGATTTCCTCCCCCTCCGATTGCCAGTAGTATCTAAGCCGGAGTTCATAGAAATCGCTCGTGACGTCAGCATTGCTTCTTGTATGTAAGCTTCGTTCAGACCTGGAAAACCAATGTGTCTCATTAACACTAATTATTCAACTTTTGTTTCCCATTTATATAATTCCTATAGACTTTTGAGCAAATATAATAACTCTTAACCCATTTTTCTTGCTGGGTATTTAATTACTTCGTATAACTTCATATATAACTAAATTTGTCCGTTAAAATCTAAAGTAAAAAGATGCACGGTAAGAAATAGTAAATAATTATGTAAACCTAATGTTAATTTATATAACACAACCGAGTAAAAAGTTGTCTTTGAATGTACTATTGCGTATATTGGGGATCGTGGAAATGGTGGATCACTCGTACACCATGGTTTTTAACTCACTTAACATCGACATAGATTCACTTTGAGTGTAGAAGCAACTGATTTTGCTTACTTTGTGCACTGTTAGACGCAGAGTCCTTTAGATTTTGAGTAAACAATGTGGACATGCTTCCGCCAAGACTTGGATTCAAAGGCTGGTCGATGAACTGCGAGGAGCTGGATGTGCTGCCTATTGTTGACTCGGATACAAGGCTCGCTGCACTTCTGCTCACCTCCGGGGTGACCTGGAACATATTTTTCACGGGTTAATTTTATCCGAAAACTTTAATATTTTTTACATGTGATGTCACATTACCCATGGGATTGTATAAATTATAAATCTATTTAGGGACTTTAAACTAATATATACTAATAAAAAATGTTTGTGCAAAGGCGGCCTTATCGCTTATGGCGATTCCTTTCAGGCAACCCTTGCATGTAGGAATAAAAGTTAGAGCAGCTGCTCGAAAGCAGCTCGAAAATAAAAAATATAGGACCCATCCGCGCTATATTTTTTTAATTTACATAGATTTTCAATTAAGATCTGTTAAATATTATAGTAGTAATGCTTTTTGTGTACGTGGTAGCGATTAGCTGGTTATGTAAGTAAGTTTTTAGACATATATTTATAACAAAATTCCACGTTGCGTTGCGCTCATAATTAGTCATAAATTACTTTTTAATTTACTGAAGACAATGAATATTGTAGAATTGCTGAAGCAAATAAATATCAGTGTTTAACCAACTATACTTAAAGGAGAACTAGGTAGATATATTTAGCCTAGAAATAGTTGTAACCTGATTAAGATTCTGTTTGGAATACGTTTCTGCGAACTTCGCGATAATATCGATAACATACTAACAAGAGCTTGATATAAATATATGAGTAGGTACACTGCTGATACTAAACTTTTTTAACGATGGCGTCAATGCATAATGCCACCAATAAGTTAAGCTAAACTTGGAACGAAATATAAGTTTTCATGTAATCGAATGTGAGAAAAAAAATATTATTACATAGTTTTGTTTGAACACTGTCTGTAGTAGTTTATTTTAGTTTAACTTTAGGGTTCCTTAAAGGACGGCGGCTGCAAAGCGTCGAAACGTCGGGCCAAATTGAAAACAGATTGTAACTAATATATTTCGCGTCTATACCGTCTGAGGTTTATTCAGATGTCTACCACTCGCGTAAACTACAGACAGTATCTAATCCGCTCGAACAAGCGTCGTATCGAAAAGCTACTTGTATCGAACAGAATTATATAAGACGGAATCGTGTGACTTCCGAACATAAGTAATATTGGAAGTGCAACTGTTAAATTCCCCGCTGATACAATCAAAGTGATTCGTGCACTTGATAACTTGTTCGAAACTCGCTACAAAGGAGCGGATGTAGTACGGTTGCAAACAGCATTCACGGATATTATTATTTACTCAGATGTACCAACTACGTGTTCAATTTAAGGGGCTTGAGTCTTGGTATCGGCGTCGAGTGCGCTAATAAATCAAATCTGCTTTCAGAGACGAATTCAATAATTGTCTTCGTATGAGCATTCGCGGAATATGGTTTCCGATTAATCCGATATAGAGCTCGGTATCTCCTTTTAACAATTAGTTATATTTTACGCTAGCTATGAGCGTGACTTTGTCCGTATGGAATAGTTGTTTTGGGAATTCTATTATTTATTCTTCCAAACAACCTCCTCATTTATGAATTAGTCAGTCAAAATAATTATTTTGGCCTCTACGATGCTTTGAGGGAGCCCTGGGAACTATAGCTGTTACCTACGATATCGTCCTAATCCCGACGCGTTGTTTTCGCAAGTTAATCTTAGATAGACTTAGAGACAAGGAATTTTTTAAATCGCTTAAAGTGGAATCATTCTTTCATTCATATTTTTTGAGTAGGTATCTTGAACGGTTTTTGCAGCGTGCGCAACGGAAGCTCTCAAAGATGAAAAATTTTACACTGTTAATAATCGCAGCGTGATATTTTATAGCCTTTCTTGATAAATGGTCCAAATAACAAAATAATTCTTCAATTCGAACCAGTAGTTTTAGAGATTAGCGCGTTTAAACAAACAAACTCTTCAGTTATTCTCACACGCATCAGTTACACTCTGTTATGTCATATGTAACTTTTTAAATTATATTTTTTTAAACACACTCCCAAGCAAATTTCATGTGATTTTGCGAGGGTTTATGAAAAGATTTAAAACAGAAAATTCAAATGTTTAATACATGAATTCTTAAAAAACTATTTTCAAATTGCTGTAAGTTTTAAACAATGTTGTGATCAGTTCAGACAAGGTGCAGTAACAACTAATTTATTAATTCTATTCTTAGCCTACCTTCCATAGTATAAGTAAGGCGGGTAGGCTACACTAAATACTAATGTATAAAACTGAAGAGTTCATTCATTTCTTTGTTTGTTTGTTTCACAAATTCTTGTGTTGCTTAGAGCGTTTATCGAGGAGACTATAAAGCATCACGCTGTGATTAATAAGAACGAAGAAATAGTGTGAAATGTGAAAACAAAAACGGATAAAAATTTTCTTCTCTTTGGATTCAAGATACCCAAAAAATATGTACGGACTAATGATTCCCCTTTAAATGATGTCAAAAAGATTCCGCGACACTATAAGTTTATCTTTTAGTAACTTGCAAGAACGACGGGACGCAACTGACGTCGTGGGTAACAGCTTCAACTAATACAGATGAAGAAGTGATTTGCACAAACAAATACGACAATACGTCGTTTAATTCTGACGTTTTTATCTAGTTTATATATTTATTTGTTTGTACACTAAAGTGTTTTTTATGTTTAAATACATTTTAATCTAATTTGTGAAGCATAGGATAGATAGATATCTGTTTGAAGAATTGATTTAAATCAAACCTCTGTGCACTGTCCGACCGAAAACCGTCTCCATTACTTAAAAAGATAATTCGATAATCTATAGTTAGAATAACCGATCTAAATAATAAGTATATGGTACTGTAAGGCATGCGCAATGCAAATAAATTGTGACATTGATAACAGATTACATACACTAGACCTTGGTTTAATTATAACAAACGATAATTCAACTGTTTGGAAATACTTGCCCTGGTGATTAGTTCGACGCCTTTATTACCTATTTATTAGTTGTTATAAAAATTATTAGGTATATATGACACATATTAAATAAAGTTGATAGTAGAAATATATTTTGACACGAGCAGTACACATTTTAACTTTTAACGGTACAAAACTGAAAATAAGAATAGATATTAGTTTATTTTGTAAAGTACGTAAAGGTTCCGAAATGTCGGATCGGAAGTTAGGAATAAGTTAATTGGTATATATCGCTTACATTAAATATATATTATAAATTAAACAATGTTTACAGATAGGCCACTATGGCATCAAAGAGTATCGAATGTTTGAATGTTTCAATTGTAATTTAATAAAACTTAAACTCTTTTCGTCTGTATTTGTATTAAGCTAAATGTTTAATAGTAAAAACTCACCTGTTTCAATTGATTATTATGAAAAATATCGTCGCCTTCAAAGCGGTTTTCATTCAAACATTGCAAGGACTCGGCGGTTCTTCCAACACTCTGATTGTTATACGGGGGCATGCCAGACTGTTTTCTGAAGAAAGTCGACGTGTTTCTCAGGAAGCTATCCATCTTCTTCCTAAAGAACGTCGATTTTCTCTCAAGAGGAGACTTCCCTAGGGAATTTAAATCTAGTTCGGACTGCGAGATCTTCCGATTGAGAATAGTTGGGTCCAAAGATGTCTTCCTATTTCTACAATTCGCTGGGAGAGTGTGAAAATGTTCTGGCACAGATGTTGGGACTTCGTTCACGTTCGGCCTATTCTCGACTATATCTAGTAGGGTAGTTGATAAATTCGCTTCCGAATTGCTTCTACACTTTTCGAATTTCAAATTAGTTTTAACGTTATTTAAATCGCAGGGCATACTAGAGAACTCTGAATGCGATAGGATCAAATCGTGATTCATAGCACACGGAGGGTCATCTCTAGGGGTGTCCTCATCGACGAGATCATTTTCAAAACAATCTTCGTAATCACTGAAATCCGTGTTGTCCATCACTTTACTGCCCGTCGGAGCTTTTAGTCGCATGCTGCTATTCATCTTGACGTTCCTCAATATTTCCCTAATCTTAATATTCTCTTTAATGCACTTGACATCAGCAACGATTTTCTCCTTACAATTCTGTTGCGTCTTATCCTTCTTCAGTTTTTGCTTAAACTTATCCATGCTCGAATGCTCAGTTGAACACCAAGGCATGTCAACACTAAAACATTATAGGTCTTATGGGGAAGATTTATCGGTAGCTCATTTCACGCTACACAGGTAAAATTAATTTATCGTAGGGAACAAATGATAACACTATCAAACAGCAACGCGACGCGACAACTATGTAATATCGCTATTTGATTGAACACAACGTCGCGTATGCGCCTACGTCGACCAGTGTACTAAGCAGGCTGGCGCATGCGCGGTGGGTGACATATGATGTAAAAATTAAACAATACATAACCTTACTGCTAGCAAAATAATGCACACGCGTACCCGTTGACGGTACCAAACGATAATCAATTCATTTAAGCGTGTATATCTCACATATAATTCTTGAATCTAGATAAAATAACTGATAATATATCTTCTTATCTATAGGCGTCCGTGATAGTTAAAAAGAAGTCGAAGTTTCACGAGTGAACACAGCTGTTCTTAACCGTTCGTAACGCGTATTAACAATGTAATTATATAAAAAATATTTAAACTAGTAAGCTAGTATTAACACTTTAGGTCATCGAAATAATTATTACAGTTAGATATAGATGTAAAAATATAGCTTTTTACTTTTTTTAAATACCTTATTGCGCAATGGCAGATTTGACATTGTGAGTGAAATCCCGTTTCCCCCTCGTGGGGCATGGGGCGAACACATTTCAGTGCCCGTTTCATTGATCCGTTCTTTTAACGGGCGAGTAGTTGATCAGACTTCTGTGCCCTGCCCGACCGAACCTGTTTTTGTTTCAAACTCTCGCGCGTAACGCAATGCTAGCCAATGTTCAACAATTTGGCTAAAGAGGCGGTCGATTTGACTTTGTACTATGTATTTAGTTTACGCGAGTAGTACACATTTAAATAAAACACTTTAACGGTTTTAAATGCGATATATATTGGTATCCGTAACGTCGGGCCATAGTTAAAATAATTTTCAAATAAGTTTGATATATATCACGTTTTAAACCGGTAAAGTGTTTTATTTAAATATAATATATCGTTAATAACATCTGTACGTACATTGATACGCATTGTCTAATATTAAAGCTCTCGTACTAAATAGGAAAAGATGTTTAACGAAATATACTAAAATTGAAAAGCGCTGAATATTTGAATAGCGTATTTGGTACAAATAAGCTATACTAATATTATAAATGCGATAGTAACTCCGTCTGTCTGTGATTTAAATAAAATTTGGTACACAAATATTTTAGAGCCTGAGAAAGGACAGTACTTTTTAATGCCAAATAAGGGTTGAAAAGGGGGATGAAAGTTTGTATGGAAATTCATGGTTTTTGAAGTTAGAACAATGTAACTTTCTTTTTTGGCTTTTTGGGAATAGGAATAGGAGTGGGAGTGGACGTGGGAGTGGGCGTGGGCGTGAGTGTAGAAATGAGAGTGGGAGTTAAAGTAGGAGTGATATGAGGCGAGAGTGTTGCGGCAAAGTAGCACTTACCATAGATTGGCTGCCTTAAATGCGCCCTTACATAAATTAATAAACAGCGTAATTAATTAAAAATTCTACCCCAAGTCACTACACCACGCGGACGAAGTCGCGGGCACAGCTAGTTGTTTTATAAAAGTAACATCGAACGTGTTATAATACTTAGTTGCAGTAAGATCGTCCTTGTACTCTTATATAAAAATGATAACAGTGCATAATGCGAAAACGACCGCGTTAGTGGACAAATCACGCTGACATTAAAAAAGGACAAATCTACCTACATTTAAAAACAGGGTGTTTAAAAATGTTCACTCTTTATTTTCCTTCGTTTTACCTTTGAAAACTTTAACATTTCGCATATTGTACATTTAAATAAAAATACGATTATAAATTGAAAAAAATTACAACCGGCATCCACAGCGTTCCGTGCTGTTGCTCTAAAGGCAAACCAATTGAACTACCATATTCTAAAATTAGGACTACTTAAAGATTATATATTTCTACTCTTAATGTTTCCAAGAATGAAATTGCTAATAGCAATATGGTCATTGTTGCAACTTTTATTTATTCTGTATCATTAACATACTTTACTTATAAGTGCTGTTGTTGTATTGAATTTTATTTCATTTCATAGCTTTTATGGTCTGTCTATATATATTTTACTAGCTGTGTCAGCGACTTCGTCCGCGTAAAATAGTTATTTTGGGCATTCAAATTTGGTTTTGCAAACTTTATTCATCTTTAAGCTGTTACCCACGACCTCGGTCGCGCCTTGTGACTCGAGATTCGACTATAGTCCCATCGTTCTAGGTCGCCGATAGACATATAGCATCGCGGACTTTTTTCTAGATCATTTCAAGAAGAATCATTCTCTCATACATATTTTTGGGGTATCTTGAACCGTTTTTGCAGCGTACGCCTCGGAAACCCATTTTTTTTCACATTTCTCGCTGAATCTTCGTTAAGCTTAGGCGATGTTTTACAGCCTACCTCGATAAATGCTCTAACCAACACAAAAAAATATTTTTTCAATTAGAACAAACAAACAAACTCTTCACTTTTATATATTAGTATAGATGATCTAAATGAAAAACTAGTTAAAAAAGCAAATAAAGTTTATTATTTTGACGGGCCTATTAAGATTAGCTACTAAAATTTCTTGTAAAATACAATAATATTATACTTAGTTAACAACAGATGCTAAAATTTATCTGCCAAATATAATTATATAAAAAATACTTATTCGTACACATGATTACAATATAGAACCTCAAATTGACATGGTAGCTTATATATTTTTTAATAATAGAAAGATGTCGATAAACATATTCCAATTTCAAGTTATAAATGAATGAAGCTTTCTAGTACAACAATAATACAAAGACAAAGTACAAACGTCAAGAGCAAAATATCATAGATTGATTTTATTTACAAGTAAAATCAAATGCCTATAACAGACCGTCAGATTAGTCAGAATTCGAACTCAGTATTTCCCGAACTAAGAAACACGTTCTTATAAACTCTTCAACATCTTAAATACTCAAACTCAAATACAGTAGTTTACGTGAGTTACATTTAAACAAATCGCTTTAGCGATTAAAAACGCGATATATATTAGTTTAACTTATTTGAAAATTATTTTAGTAGTAGTAAAATAATTTTCAAATGAGTAAAATATATCGCGTCTTAAACCGTTAATTTGTTTTATTTAAACGTTACAGTGTTTTATCTTCAATATATTTTTTCGTTTCGCATTCGAAATTTAAATTTTCAGTTTGGTTCTAATGAGGTTCTTGTGTACGTCTTAAGATTAGCGTTCCTAGTATCATTTCTTGGCCGGTACGTCCGGCACATCAAATTCGCTGACCTGAGCCTCAACCAGTTGCTTGCTCCTCAATTTAACAACAGCGTGGCTCGGTACATTCGGGTCTTCCATCTCGAATTCAATCAATCCTGCAAACACCAACAGTTATTGCTATATTGCCAAATTGCCACCGATTTTTTTCAGATGAAATACGAATTTTAATTAACGCAAAGCTACATGTGAAAAATAAATGTTGTATGATATATATTTCTTTCATTTTTTATTACTTTAACATCCTACATTAATTAGCAATCAATTAATTATTTTTTTAAGTTCGTGTTGTGTCTTATTTTTTATACTTTAACTTCATACACTGATGTAGCAAATTATTAGGTGATTGTTTTTTAATTTTATGTTAAATTGAATATAGTTTATTTCTTTCATTTTTATAATTTAACATTGTAAGATGATGTACAAAAAAAATATTTTTTAAATTTCATTTCGTGTTAAATTACATGAATAAAATATCGTAGGTTTAATTATTTTCTTTTTAACATTATACATTGATGTAGCAAATAACTTGTTTATTTGTTAAATTTCGTTTTAAATTAAATAAACTAATAAAATATCTTAGGTAGAAATAGAAATTTAACATTCCGTTTAGGTATTCTCGACGAGTAATCAGAGAAAATGTCTAGATACTCCCCGCAGATGACGTAGCTCCGTGGTCGAACAGAACGGTACGTTCGTCGCGGGTTCGAGTCCCGCCGATTTAGTGTTAAGTTTAAATAACATCATACCGCCTTCGGCAACAACTTCATCCTTGTAATTATCACGCATGGTTCTCGCTAAGATGCCGTGGTAGAATGCATTGGCATAAGCCTTCACATCAGCGGTGACCTCCATCTTGGAAACAGCTTGGATCAGCACATTGAGCTTTTGTTTCGCCGTCAGTATCAACTTATCGACTGAAATAAAGATTAGAATTATTTCCAATTCCTTTATTGAACCTTAGTGCGCACATGTGAAAAAATGTGTTAAGGTAGAAATAACATTGAAAAGAATTACAGAGGTGCATCTGTGGACGGTGGTATTATTTAGTATAGGTAGTATTTAGTATCCAGATTTCACAGACGAATCTCACATGTTTCAGGAAAATTATAAATTAAAAAATTATGGTGGGGATTGAACCCTCGTGAAAAGTGAATACTTACAATATCGAATGTATTTATCGGGAACATAAAGTTTTTTCTAAACAATTCAAATTTTTTATCAAACATGTTGGACTTCGTCTGCGAAATTGAATATTAAAAGAATATCGACAATCCACCCGAGCCACGAACCGCCACAGATAGAAAAGCCGTCAAGTTTAATCGTTTTCGGTTTCAATCTGTGGATTTCCCAATATCCAAAGCTAAAATAGATCGACAGCGTATCCCGTGAAACCCTTGCTCGTCTGTCCGTCTCTATCATTAAAAAGGGAATAGTTGGATTGAATTATTTCTAACTTCTCTTCTTCGCTCGAGAGCATTATATCATTAAAATAACATGACTACGGCATGTACCAACCACATTTCTATATCCGGTTGACTTCAATAGACAAGTAGATAATCAAATTTAAACGTTATACTATCGAATCAATTCTAGATATTTTTAAATAGAAACCACTTTTACGGTTTAAAACGCGATATATAAGTTAAACTTATTTGAAAAAGATTTTTTACTTCGGCCCGACGTTTCGGATGCGTTGCAGCAGCCGTGGTCACGGGGAGACTGAGTGACAAGTTTAACTAATATATCGCGTTTTAAACCGTTAAGGTGTTTTATTTAAATGTGTACTACTCGCGCAAACTATAGACAGTACTTAATTCTAGATGTTTTCAAAATATTGGTAACCACGACCTTCCATGGTTAACAAGACTATACATTAAGAAGTGAGCCACCAATGATATAGGCTTAAACTGGGCTTATAAATATACTAGTTATTTATATGAACGAATATATATAAATGGAAATTCGTAAAAATGGTTTTAATGATTTTCACGTTTCAGTTAAAGCACAAAATACGAACGTATCATCAATATACCTTACATCACACTTTATGGTAATATAATGTTATTTACATATTGTAATTACTACAAAATAATGCTTTGTATAATTAAATCTGGTCCGGAACAAAGCATATTGTATAATGTTACCAACATCGCTGAACTTCTGTTTAAATGTCGATCATTCATTAACCATATTTATTAAAATAATAGCTGTGTCAGCGACTTCGTCCGCGTAGAACAGTTGTTTTGGGCGTCCAAATTCGTTTTGCAAATCCCTTTATAAACTTAAGCCTTAAACCCACGACGATCACGTCCCGTCCCGTCCCGCCGTTCTTGCAAGTTAATCTTAAGAGATGGAAATTATAGCGTGGCGATTTTTTTTAATCTAAAGAAAGAATATTTAAAATTTTAATTTGGAACTAAAGAGAACCCAATTTGCCCCTTATATCATTCCTAATTTTAAAAAATTTTAATTAATTAAAAAATTTTAAATATTATAATTTGGGGGCCGGGGCCTCCCCCTTTCCCCCTATCCGAAAAGTGGCCCCACCAACACAAAATTAATTAAACTTGCAATTTGAATTATTATTCCCGAACTACGGTTTCCCGAGACACGCTTCAGCTTTATATAGGAAAGTTGTGGAAGAAATGAGTTTTATAACTTTAACTTCTGCATATATCATCTGTGAACACGGTCTCCCGTAAGCATGAAGCTCTGCAAAGCATAGGACATTAAGTCTCAATTTCTAAGTGTTGAAACGAGAGGTGCGTGCAAAAATGGATCGAATAAAATCGTAATATGTAGGAACACGGTTGCTCGGAACGTGGTTGATTTATTTTAAATTTTAAATTGATTTTTAATTTATTTACGCCAAATGAACATTTTTTAAACTAGGACTTTAAAAAACAGTGCTCTTATGTTAGAATCGTAATAGAGGATTTCAATAAAACTTACGGATGCGACAATTAATTAACATATTATTATTTTAATATTGACGATTATATGATACCCCGTAGTTTACTAATAAACGGCGTTTTAATCTAAAGTGTTTTATTTAAATATGTATTTGCGTAAGGGGAGCACGGACGCCAGTATGTTTTTTTACATTGAAGTCCTTTAAAATTATAAATACTTTCTTACAATCGGCTTCAACCTCTGGCACTGGTTGTATCATATCGTCCAATGCATATTGAATTGCTGGTGGAACATCCTTGAACGGTCTGGGGACGTTCGGAGCTCCTGAAAATTAATTTTACTTGAATTAATAGAAATATAATCATCAATGTAGTTTAAACATTGGAAATTTTAATATTGTTACATGTTAATACATGATGGAGCTTTATAAATTAAAAATCGATCATAGATTGAAATAAGTTACGTCACGGGCAGGACTTGAACCGTCACAAGTCGTCGCCGATTTTTTCTCAACCTATTTTTAAATGTACCTCTTGCGCAATGTAATTTCAACCTTAACTGTTGTGTACAAACGCCGTGGACAACGGTTCCCGCCAGTGTCGTAATATTATAAATTAATAATCGATTTTTAATTTATAAAATTCGAGACATATTTGCCAATTTAGTAAGTTTTATTAAATTAATAAATTAGCCATTTGTTTGTCCGTGATACAGAAAACGTCAAACACCCTAACAATATATATTTTACAAGTTTTATAGAAGGCTGGAAGCAAGATGGCCACTCTCCACAATGTCTCAAAAATGGACGTCAAAAATTAACTTCCCATTTCTTCTAATCATTGATACATTAATTAATTTAATTAATGATTGCCTTATATTAAGTTAAACAGTTCCGATGTGTTTCTTTATTCTATATGAACGCTAAACTCCTGAAAGAAATCTATGCCAGAAAAAGTCAACATCTCCTAAATCCTCCACAAGTGAGGAAAAACGGCGGGTTTTGAAAGAAAAAAACGCGAATCCACATTAGCAATTCCAAAAATCCGTGATACCAATTTACCAAGGAATAGCAAACGTGACAATTTGAATAAAATAAAGTGAAAGACAGCAGTTTGATTGTTTAAAAATGACCTATAGTTTTACAAGTAATAAATATGCAATTACCAGGAAATAAATCTGGGTTAAGTTAATTGTTGCTCCATTTAGTACATATTACTTTTATATTCTACGAGTTTAGCTACCTAAGATTTGCCTTAACACCGCTCTCTTATATATATTTCTTTAATTTTTACCGACTTAGAACAGGAAATTAAAATGTGAAAAATTGAAAAATTTTTTTTTAAAGATATTTAAATGTAAAAAACACTGTGATTGATTTGTTTTTAACTTCATAAAAGGTTATATTTTGTATTAATTATCTATATATGTCCTATAGTCATGTTTAACGGAACGGTTTAAAACGCAAAATTTAACTACTTACAATTTATTTTTATATAACGGATGCTTGTAACAGTCCCCGTTTTAAACCGTTAAAATTGTTTTATTTAAATGTTTACTAATGTAGAGAAAACAACCAATAACCTATGTTACATTGTAAAGTTCTTTGTATTTACTATGCACAACAATAACAATTTCAAAGTCAACATACCGACACTGGAGAGCAACTGATTTATTTGTTGGAGCGAAGTCTTCATTTCAATAATCAACTGCCCCCTTTCATTCAAGGCAGTTGTCAAGTTGCGTTCTTCCCGCTCTTCTGCCTCCAGACCAGCTTTCAGTTGATTCTTCTCAATTACATACCTGTTGATTCATTAAGCCACTAAAGCTTTTATTTCTTACAATACAAATTTAAGAATAATTAAAGCCGTAGACAGACTGAGAAACTTATAGAATCTAGCTAGAAGCCACCGCCACCTACCAAATCAAAGCAGTAACCGCAAAACATAAAAGGTAGGGCGGAAACCCGGGACCACACCTCTTAAAAATATGCTAAACGTAGTGAAGTTAAAAATTAACTACTATATACCCCGTCTGTAGTTTACGCAAGTAGTACACAATTGAATAAAAAACTTTAACGGTTTAAAACGCGACATATATTAGAGACCTTCGTGACCACCTCTACTGTAAGGCATCCGCAACGTCGGGCCGTATTTAAAAAACGTTTAACTAATATATATCGCGTTTTAAACCGTTAAAGTGTTTTATTTAAATAATATTATTTTTAAAATGTTTCATTTGGCAGAAATAGCTTCAGGAACCAGTTTTGAAGCTTTTTACCTTACACGTGGCTTCGGAGCAACTCGTTCTCATTAGTTTTTATATATTTTGAATCGGGAATTTGTAAGTATTTTCGTAAAGTTATTTTTGTCTTTAATGACATTAAACAAAGTAAGAATTAGCGAATCAAAAACAAAGGACGATCTTATTATAATGGACATTTCTTCGAAAACGTCAACAATCTCGAGGTGGAAACGACGTGGGCGAATTAGAGTTAAATAAAGGTAGCTGATAGATCCAAATGCAACATCAACTTCCGAGAATTGTTAGACATTATTAGGAGACAACGCTCGTCTGGAAACCTGGATATTAAATGGATGGTAGGAATATATAAATTCCGTCCGGGTCACGAGCCATCGATGAAAAAGCCGTGAAGCTTAATCGCGTTTCGGCCTCCGTCTGTGAATTTCCGAATACTAAAGCCAAAAAAAGGCCCACAGTGCAGCTTGTTTAGATGCTATAGGCTGAGGTATATAGTACTCTGTTTTAATATTGTATGTTCAAAAATGCCCCAGCGCCGCGTCGTGGACGTCAAACGTAATCAAATTCGCAGTTCGTAGGAATTAATAGGAATTGTTATACTCAATAATTAACAATCAAGCCCACAAATGCTATCGATGACTCATTGACATCACATTACATAAACATTGTCTGTAATATACGCCTGTTCATATTTTAAAACACCAAACGCAAAAGTATTATTCCCTATTTGTTGACGATGGGGCACGAAGGGCGTTTAACTTATTTTAACCACGGGAATTCCCCCAATGTCCACGGCTGCTGCTAAGACGAAACTTTGGATAGTTGTTAAAGTTAGATGTCTAATATATTTCAGATTTTGAACAGTTAAAATGTGTTTTATTGCTACTTGCGTAAGCTTAGACCGTCTCTGTAGCCAAATGGCGAGACGCCCAGGGTTCGAATACCATGGAAACATAAAATTGTTTCGTCCGGGCAGGGCAGAGAAGTCTGATCAATACTTGCCCGTTAAAAGAACGGATCAGTGAAACGGACACAGAAATGTGTTCGCCCCCATGCCCTACGAGGGGGAAAAAGGCTTTCACCGTTTAAGCTTACATATAAACACTAGTGACTCGCTTGGCCTCTTTGGTGGTGTTGATACTAAATACACTACAGAAATACTGTGAACGCTGTTTATAAAATCCTTCCTCTTGAATCAGTCTATCTATTTAAAAAAAACGCATCACAATCCGTTGCGTAGTTTCATGTTAAACTACTTCAGGAATTGTACATCCATACTGATATACAAAGCTGAAGAGTTTGTTTGTTTGTTTGAACGCGCTAATCTCAGGAATTGGCGCGTTCAAATAAACAATAATCATTTCTCAATACGGGTTCGAATTGAAAAAATATTTTTGTGTTAGTTAAAGCTTTTATCGAGGAAGGCATAGATAAAAACATTCCCAAAAGAATATACAGCGGGAAAGGTAAAAAAAAAAAATTATTCATCATTAAGCGCGACCTTCCAAAAACAGTTCAAGATACCCAAAAAATGATTCCTCTTTAAATAATCTAAATAAAAGTCCGTGACACTATATGTCTATCTTTTAAGATTATGTTGCAAGAACGACGGGAAGGGACGCGACCGACGTCTTATAAAATCACTAGCCTACGCGGACGAAGTCGCGAGCATACCAGCTACTATAAAATAAGGTTAATAAACAACCTTTCGAAAGTATAACTTTATCGTGTTATTTATATAAAATCTAGAAGCTACATCCAACTACGCAATCGTTTTAGAAACTTAAATCCAGTGGAACACCTTAAAATCAAAAGGAAGGAGAAGTTTTATTAAAACTGCATTACTAAGTTGAAGTGGAATTTTATGATGAGGTTTCCAGGTATTTTTATTGCAAACAATCTTTGAGATTAACTTTCAAAGTATGCCTTATAAAAGAAGGATTTGCGCTTTCATTTAATTAGTTACTCAATGAGAATTTTGCAGTGAAATACGAATTAAGATAAATGAATAAAACAAAATAAATGTACTTCTGTATTATGTTTGTTATTACTTCTTTCTCTGTTTAAGACTATTTTTTATGCTGTGGTTGACTAGCGTGTCAGAGACTTCGTCCGCGAGAATCGTTATTTTGTAAGACATCGAAATTTGTTTTTGCAAATCCCTTTGTCCTTAAAAACTTAGCTGTTACTGTTACTGGTGTACTGTTCTTGCTAGTTAATCTTAAAAGATACATTTTATTTTAGATCATTTATAGAGATATTATTCTCTCATACATTTTTTTTTTGGGTATCTGGAACCGTACGCCTCGGAAACCCATAATGATGAAAAGTATTCCCAAATTGTTTCACATTTCCCGATGGATCTTCGCGCTTATTAGTCACAGGGCGATGTTTTAGCCTATAGCCTTCTTCGATAAATGCTCTAACTTACACAAAAATAATATTTAAATTCGATCCCGTAGTTCTTGAGATTAGCGCGAACAAACAAACAAACTCTTCAGCTTTATATATTAATTAGTATAGATTTAGTTTCATAAAAAATGCTTTCAATTGTATGTAATCCCCGTGACCACGCTGCAAAGCATCCGAAACGTCGAGCCGAAGTTAAAAATCATTTTCAAATAAGTTTAACTAATATATCGCGTTTTAAACCGTTAAAGTGTTTTATTTAAATGTATGTAATAATAATAAATAATCACTATTTAAATTTTAACACTAATTCATTCTTAATTTTTTAAAATTTCAAACGGTCGATTAGTCGGTATTATATACATACTGATATAAATAGCGATTTTCATTCGATATTTGAAAATCGAATTTCACAATATACGAATGAAAAGTCTGTGTCAAATATATATTTGTCTTCTTTTTCAACCCAAAATGGCGTTTGACTTCACTAAGTTCTTTAAGGATACAGAAAAATCTAGCGCAGTAAAGTAAGACCGTTATAGTCGCGCATTCGTTAACTATATTTAAAAAAAATCTGGTTTTTATTTTAAATGTTTTTTTTGTGTTATTCTTTGTATTTCTTGTGTGTGTGTATTAAATGATGTGATTTGTTTGCGATAAGAACAACATGCGATAACAAGGCGATATTTCGTTTTATACGCAGCTATAAGGCAACAAAAGTTGAATGTCATCCCAATTATTCAGTTTCCCCTATTACGTATTGCAAATGGAATGGTCTATAGATGAACAGATCGCATACCATTGTGAGGATTCCGATAACAAGCTACAAATCGACTAATCAGTTTGTGTAAAGCGGAAGACGATCAGAACAGTCCGTACTCCTGCGAAACTGTGACGAACAGGAATCTAAGTGAAATTGCACATTTCCGGTACACTTACTTAAGTTCTAAAATATAACTATTTATATCAAACGTCTAAGAGTCTTCGTAAGTTCGAGGTATGTACGCTTAGTTCCTCCCAGGAATTATGGTAGATGCTTCAGCTAGATTGAGGTAGAGCAAAGATTCAACATCAGCTACGCTGTATTAAATCAATCGAAACAGTAAATTACATTTTTATAAAACAAAAAACTAAATTAGGGATTTAGCAAGTGTGGCAGAATAGAAAAATATCATATAGATATCATATTAAAATCAAGAAAAAGAATAACGTATACTACTATACAAAGCCCGAAGAGTTGTTTAAACACGCTAATCTCAGGAAGGATTAGGATCGAATTGAAATTGCTTAGAGCATTTATAGAGAAAGGCTTTAGGCTATAAAACATCATGCTGTCATAACGACGGGGCGCGGTCGACGTCGTGGGTCACAGCTAGTTAATATCTATAGCTTGAAATAAACAATTGAAAATAGAGAGAAGATGAACGAGTCCTAACGACTGTTAGAATTAAGTTTCAATTTAGAATAACCTCCATATCCATAAATAGAAATATTAAATCTACATCTATACTAATATATAAAGCTGAAGAGTATGTTTGTTTGTTTGAACGCTCTTATTTCAGGAACTATTGATTCCGAAACATTCATCGAAAAGGCTTTGGGCTTAATATTCCTAGGAGTGAAGGTACAGTTGGAAATGTGCAAATAATTACTCATCAAAGAAATATTCCTCTTTAAATTATCTAAAAAATGGCCGCGACAGTATTTATTTATTTATATTTTTTACACAACACACGCACACAATTACAATGAACTAAAATTAATAATAATATCTATAAAGTATGGAGTGTTGGGTTCGTTTGCTATCTCTTCTAGGCGACCTTTCTTAGGAAAATAATGCAAGACAACTTAATTAGGGGAACGTGCAGTATATGTCTATCTTTTAGAATTAACTTGCAAAAACAATGGGACCCAAACTGAAGGACTACCCCGAACCGTACATCGTAGATAACAGCTATAATTTATAAAGAGGGGGGGGCAAATTTGCAAAAACAAGCTTTGCCCAGAAAACTTATCTACGCGGACGAAGTCGCTGAAAACAGCTAGTTTCGAATAACCTTCATATCCTTACAAAGCAAGTTTAAATTTAGAATAAACTTCCTATCCATACATAGCTGTTTTCTCCTGTCCCACGTTCTTCAGGGAATCTAACATCTGGATGGCGTGCTTCCGGTCTTCAATGAGTGCGTCCCTTTTCGTACTGTTCAACGTTAATTGCATCATAAGTCGCTCAGTCTGGTAGTGTTGTTCCTTTAGCCTAGAAGAGAAACATTAACTTCAACTTAACATCTTTTAATATTGACCCTAGTTTATCAGCTAAAAAAATTACTTATTTACAATTTATTAACTGTGACTCGACGTTTCGGATCCTTCGCAGCAACCGTGGTCATGGAGAGACTTTTGTGACGCGTCTAATAATAAGTAATTGTAAATAAGTTAACTAATTTGTTTCGCGTTTTAAGCAGTTAAAAGTGTTTTATTTATAAGCATCCGAAATCATTTTCTTTCTTCCACACTTCGAGTAAAAAAAATTACATCACATAATCGAAACAAAGAAAATCTCTGATAACAAAAGTTATAACGCGCAGTACACATTTAAAATAAAACCCGTTTAACGGTTTTAAATGCGAAATAAAAGAAAATCACCGATAACAAAAGTCATAACTCGTAGTACACATTTAAATAAAACCCGTTTAACGGTTTTAAATGCGAAATATATATGTACGGGGGGGGGAGAATAATTTGTTAATTTAACTAATGTATTTCGAGTTTTAAACCGTTTATTTAAATTATCTCCGGTCTGAAAATGCACTACTGAATTCCGTTTCAAACATCTTACACATGTTACGGATCTTTTGAAGCCGAGCACAGCCCGTAGTTTTATTGAAGTCGAATATAAATTATTCGGAACATTCTAGAATATCTTTCAATTAGTTCGCGCGCAAAGTTCTGACAGTAATTTCCAATTATTTGCTATTTACACCACTTAATTGCTTTGCATCGTCCAACTTTTTGAAATACGGAAATAATTCTACGGGTTCGTTGGTCTAATGCTCGTGAGTTCGACCCCCACCGGGTCCAACATGAAATGTGGATAATAGATGGGTGTCCACAGTTTAAAGCCGTGAAGTTCAGTCGCTTTTCCGAGTATCCAAAGTGGGGGTTTCCCTTGATGGAATGTGACCATAACATATAACATCTAAACTAGGTGCTTTTGACCTTGATTTTGGATATTCGGAAATCCACAGACTAAAACCGAAGCGCGTTTAAACTTCACGCCTTTTATCTTTGCATGGTGTACGTGATTCGGCAATATATCAGTTACGTAATTAAAAAAAGTTAACTCAAATGCTTCTCTGTCCTCTATGAAGAAAAAAATGTTACGAAACTCCGTATAAATAGATCGTGCTGCAACTTTGCAGGCGGAACTTTTTCAAAGGTAAGTAATAACTTCAGATATAGTTCGTCTTAATTAAAAACCTTTCCATGTGCTATAGCAGTCACATTTGTGTGCCATGCCTATGTTTTATAATTTTATCAATTGACCACTTCTGTACTCTACACACCACAACGATCCAACGGGATTCGAACCCACTACCTCTTGTTCTTGACCATTCGACCAAAGAGGCGGTCATTGGTATATGCCAGCCTATAGCAATCGAGATGCGGTGTCGGCCTATTTAGGCATTGGATATTCGGAATTCGGACTGAAACCGTAACGCGATTAAGCCTCACGGTTTTTTCATCTGTGGTTCGTGACCCGGACGGAATTTATAAACTCCTATTAGAAACATGATGGACCTGGTGGGGATCGAACCCGAGACCCGTTGATCATTAGCCATCAAGCCCGTCAATTTTGACCATAGAGCCACAGAGGCGGTCATTGGTTTAACATGTTAGTAATAATCTTAAACTGTATATTGGTTGAAAGCTTTGGTATATCCAATTAATTTTAATTAGATAATTCGCCACTCATGCACATAATATGTTCCACAATTAATTAAGGGCATTCATTTGGCAAATAATTCAGCAAGATACAGAACTAGTCAATAAACCACAGACAACATTTTTTTTATAGAATCTACTTTGGCAGATTCTCAGCATAAATTAAAAATATCATTAAAATATTTAACAACGTACTATCTATAGTTTACGCGAGTAGTACAAATTTAAATAAAACACTTTAACGGTTTAAAACGCGATATATCATCAAATTAATCTATTTGAAAATTATTTTCACTACGGCCCGAAGTTTCCTTGTGACCACGGCTGCAAAGCATCCGAAACGTCGGGCCGTAGTAAAACATAATTTTCAAATAAGTCTAACTAATAGATATCGCGTTTTAAACCGTTAAAACTTATTATCGCTTAATTCTGAGCACAGATTTTCCCTCTTATAAAATATGGACTAACTTAAACCCACCACACTACTTAAGTCTGGGTCGGTGGGTTTTGACGACTGCAATCTCAATTCCATGAATGACTGTTCAACATAGTCTACGGGGTTATTGACAATTCGGCCGATTCAAACCCGGGGCCTTTGATCTTATGCCGACTATACTAACCACTAAACCACGTATGACAATGAATTTATATGCGTTATTACCTGAGAAGGATTTTATCGAAGGACGGCACAAGAGTGGCTTTTTGCAGTTTCTTGCAGATTCCCATCACTTCTTCCAGCTCCCAATGCACAGAATGTTTGCTTCCAGCGTCTTCATCTTCATAAAGGTCGTCTAAATTTGTAGCCTCCTTTAAATGTTAAAATAATTTAAAATAAACACAAACATTTTGATTATCTTTACTTATTTCTAAAGTAATCTTAGGAAAAATTGTAATGTATCTTTACATCCTTTAAATAATAACACATTTAACGGTTTAAAACGCGGAGTATATTAGTTAACCTATTTATTTTGTTTTCTTGATTATGGCTACTGCAAAGCATCACCGTAATGTCGTTTCGTAGTTAGCAAAAAAAAAGTTAACCAATACATTTCGCATTTTAAACCGTTAACAGTGTTTTATATAAACCAGATATTGTATTAAACTTTCAACTAACTATTAAGATATTAGTACGAAACGTTCCTCCTATAGTCGGAGTGTGATGTTTTATAGCCTAAAGCCTTCTTCGCACCCTACTGCGTTCCACATTAACTCTTCAGTTTTATAATATCAGTACAGATCTACAAATAATCGGGCAAAACTCACTTATTGTACGAAGTGAAACACGCGTTATTTGAGAAATTAACGATTATGTCGTAATAACGTATCGTTGATTTATCTAAAGATTCAATTTCCTTTGATGGTGGCGAGCGAATTTTCATCCACAAGTTGAATATTACGAACAACTAAAACGATTATTACATTTCTAAAATACAGTCTATACTGTCTGTAGTTTACGCGAGTAGTACACATTTAAATAAAACACTTTAACGGTTTTAAACGCGAAATGTATTGGTTAACTTATCTTTAATTTATGCTAACTACTAAACGTCGGGCCGAAGTTAAAAATAATTTTAAAATAAGTTTAACTAAAATATCGCGTTTTAAGCCGTTAAAGTGTTTTATTTAAATACGTACCTACTGATGTTATTCAGCAGCGGCCACAAGTGGACATTCCTCCAGTATATTTAACTAACATATGTCTCGTTTCAAACCGTTAAAATGTATTCACGAATATTGATCAAATTGAACGTATGCTCGAGGTAACATTCCAAGAATGTCTGTACATAATTATCAACATAAGAGGCTTAGTTAGCGCTATCGAATCGAGCCAGTTCACGTTATCGTGGTATTTCTCAGTACTCCATCGGAATCTGCTTCGAACCTCTTTGTACGCTGCGAATCTCAAAGTCTATTAGACAGCGCTGCTGCACTTAATAAGGACTTAATTATGGCACAGCCATTTCAAGTCCTGGAAGTTCGATATGAACCGGAATCTATACACTTCATCGAACTGATTTTTGTGTTATTTGATTTATATGGATGTCACTTTTAATAGAAAATTTAAATCTATACTAATATTTGAAAGCTAAAGTCTCTTTTAGTACGTTAATCTCAGGAACAACTAATCATTTTTTATTTGAACAATTTTTAAAGCAGGCTGTAAACCATATAGCAACCAGCTGCCCCTAATAGGAGCGAAGAAAGAGTGGAATGTGAAAAAGGGAAAATATCTTGGTCACGATGAATGCATTATTAATTAAAAATGTGTATCGATTCTCATTAAATAAAAAAAAAAAAAAAAAAGAAAAACACGATTAACATTATTAATGAAAAAATCGATTTTATTGAAAAAATTACGATTCGGGCAGGACTTCAACCGGCATCCACACGGAGGTATCCGAATTTTTTCAACCTATTGATACATGCACCTCTCACGCAATGTAATTTCAACTTTAACTCCTGCGCATTAAGGTTCAATGTCTTATACTTTGCAGCTTAAGAAAATAAAACTAATGCATTATAATTTATAGCTATTACCCACACGGGGTACAGTTAGTGTGTAATACCTCTTTCCTTATCAGATTTGGGAAGGAGTCGGTCAAATAAGCAACTTCGCGCCGCACTAGTTTTAGCGTTCTCTCTCGCTCTTTCATATTTATTTTTATTTCCGCCTCGAGCTTATTGAACTCGAATTTTCTATCGTCGAGGTATTCCATAGCTAGCTGCCCCATTTCCGTAGCGCCCATAAGGCACTTTCCCTGCGCTCGACAGTCGAGCTTTAGAGCTTCTAAGACGACTGTGAAGTAAGATGAATCCTAAAAATGAAACATTAAATTTACGCGAGTAGTACAGATTTAAATAAAACACTTTAACGGTTTAAAATGCGATATTCATTAGTTAAACTTATTTGGTGCCGTAATCTCGGGGGTCTGCTGCAAAGCATCCGAAACGTCGGGCCGTAGTTAAATAATTGTCAAATAAGTTTATATATATCGTGATTTAAATCGTTGAAGTGTTTCATTTTAATGAGTACTTAATGTTAATTATAAATTTGAAACAGAAATAATTCGCTGAAACAGTAAAAGCGTTACCACGAAATTCACTACGCCTTATACATGTTACATAAAATAAACACGAATTTTAATTACTGCATTGCTTGATTTCGATTGATGAAATTGGTGTGTAACCAATATTTTAATATTGTATCATACTATAGCTAAAGGCAAGGTTAAACGTTTATGTCGGTCCAGTCGTATCTGCAATTTACGACTGGAGGCCGGGGGTTCGATCCCCAGAATACCCGACAACTTAGAACCAAAAACTCGATGACTTAGCAAACAAGCCGACAACTTAGAACCAAAAACTCGATGACTTAGCAAACAAGCCGACTGTTATACCCGACTCATAAGTTGTGTCCCAGCAGTGGGAAATGCAAATTACCTTTTTAAGTATGTCCAATATTTTCTTATACATAACTTTGATAGCTAGCGCGGCGTTCTTTTTAATATTTGCGCGTTGTACATAATTGGCCACAGCCTGTTCTTTCTTTTCAGCCGGTAATTTCCCCCCCACTTCAAACAAGAGGCGGTCTCGCAATTCAGCTGACTCAAGCTATTTTAAATGAAGAAAACAAGTGTACAATGGAATTGTGTAAGGCTTCGCGGCCAACGTTCAGCATATCATTGTTTTTTCGGACTGTTCGGCCGACGCGACGTGAGCGAGAAGAGGTTCTCGACGCTTCGCCATCGCCATGCTTGAAGAATTAATAAATCTTCGAGCAATCGAGCAGCTAACATCTATCGATGATGCCGTCTGCTCGTGTCGGCTTCAAGAATCTCTTGTCACTCACTTCGGCCGACCAGCCCGAAAAACAATGATATGCTGAAGTGTAAAATGATAATTCACTTTACTATATTACTACTACTTTTTGTTTAAGATCTATACTAATGTTATAAAGCTGAAGAGTTTGTTTGGACGCGCTAATCTCTGAAACTGTTAGTAATTGAAATAATCGTTTTTGCATTTATCGATGAAGGTTTTAAGCTACTCAAAGATCAAGCTACGACTAATACGAGCGAAGAAAAAATGGGAAATGTGGGAAAAAAACGGGGATTATGTATCTTTGACGGTATCCATTACGTGCGCTGTGAAAATGGTTCAAGATACCCGGAAATATGAAAGGACTATAATTCTTAAAATAATGTAAATAATGGGTATATGTCTATCTTCAAAAATTAACTCACAAGTATTTTGAATGGTAATCAAATATGGTCGAAATAATTGAGAATTATAAAGCAAAAAACGTTTGCCAGGTCCGTTAGTTAATAATTTTAAATTATTGTACCAATGGCAAAACAACACACTTAGGTCCGAATAAAAAGTTTTTTATAAATCATATAGTAAAGAATGTAGACTAATACTGACTTTTATGTTTTTAGTAACGTACTAGCATTCACTAAATTTAAGGCCAAGTGTAATTTAAGTGGGAAACACTTCCTTTCTATAAAAGGAAATTGCATTTGATAGTAAGATAGTATTGTTTTTTTATTTTTTATATTTATATGTATTACACTAATATTAATACTATATGCCTCTGTAGCCAAATGGTTAAACGTGTTGAATTGTTAAGCACGAGAGATCCTCAGTTCGAATCCCAGGGAAAACATTGATTGTTTCAGTCGGGCACTGGTCATACTATTCTATATACTATTCTAATCTATATGTTCAAGAAGAGAAGGGATTACATTAGTATTAATTTTTACCTATGGTGGTACCATATGTAACAAAATTACTGGAATATAAAAACGGCATATCAATAACAAATATTACCAATCGGTAAACAGTGATAGCACAATTAAATATTTTCCATTGAATATCGTATCTTGATCAACAAAGCTATATAAACAGTATTATCGATCACTCGCAATGGGCCGCGATTTCGTCCACGTGGATCAATTATTTTGGGCATCATCATATTATATATTTTTCCAAATAGCCTACAGCTTTATATATTGTAACTGTTACCCACGACGTCGTCCGTTTCCCGTCATTCTTGCGAGGTAATCTTAAAAGATAGACGTAAACAGTCGCTGACATTTTTTTTACATCATTTAAAAAATAATCATTCTCTTATACATATTTGTCGATACTTTGTTCCGATCTCACAGACCACGCAATGGAAAATAATTTTGAAATTCGAACCAGTAGTTCCTAAGATTAGCGCACTCAAACAAACTTTTCAGCTTATATAGTGCTATAATATTAGTACTAACTAAAATATAACAAGCAGGTCTCCGATTCCTGTAATATCTATGTTCACAATTTAATTTACTTGCTGTTCAGTCAAGCATCGAAAACTAATTAAATAGGTACGCTGCGATTATATTAATGCAACTGATATTCCATTACACGGCATCCGTTTCAATTGATTGAGTTCTTTCAAATTAATATTCAATTATTTCCCTTCGATACTCGAAAGCGTTCCCTTATTTTTTGTTGTTGTAATGATTGTAACGATATGTTACATGTAATACTAGCTGTATCAGCGACTTCGTCCGCTTGGAATTGTTATTTTGAGCATGCAAATTCGTTTTTGCAAACCCCTTTCTTTAACTTATGCTGTTACCCACGGCGTCGGTCGCTTCCCTTCCCGCCGTTCTTGCAAGTTAATCTTAAAAGATAGACATATTGTGTCGCGGACTCTTTTTTAGATCATTTAAAGAGGAATCATTCTTTTATCCATATTTTTTGGGTATCTTGAACAGTTTTTGCAGCGTACGCCGCGGAAACCCACAATGATGATTTTCCAGATCTTTTTCACATCTCTCGCTGTATCTTCGCTTGTATTAGTCACAGGGCGATGTTTTATAGCATATATATATAGTCTTCCTCGATAAATGCTCTAACCAACACAATATTTTTTTAATTAGATACCGTAGTTTTGAGATTAGCGCGTTCAAACGTACATACAAACAAACCAAAAAATCTTCAGCATAGTATAATAGTATAGATATGCTGGCTGCTAGAGGCAGAGTCACCTAATAACAAAAAAACACGATTTTCAATAAGGAGAAAAATAAAATGCACAATTAACTTAGGGGAAAATGAATTTGTACTATTATTTGTGTAAGTATTATGTTAACAAATTTTCGGTCACTGCGCTTTTGTATATTAACATTATTATACTATAAAAATTTAGATAAGTCAAGTCATAAAATTGCAGTTAGGCTACTCTGCCTCTAACGGCCTCTATAAGTGAAAGATTCTAGATAATCCTCTTTTTAAACCATTTAAAATGTGCTGAAACATTTCCAAAGTTAACTAATCATATTAATAATAATTAACCTGCGTTAGCCGAAACGTCTCCATCTTCTTCTTCTTCGTGTAACGGATTCTGTCAAGCTGCTTCCTCTTATTGAAGTTTTCCTGGTGAATGCTCTCCAACACTTTCTGCATAAATATTTTCATGTTTTGAGTGTTCTATCGATTTTACATATTGCGTTTCAGATTTCAGGATAGATAACCTATTTTGCGTTTTTTGATGGACGGTTAAATGGAAGTTAGTATTTCAAAGTAGATTTTTCCGCAATCAACCTTTCATATGTTCGTAGCGAATAAAATTCATAAACCTCAACATTTTTAATTTTTATCGTGCACAACGTAAAAATCTTTGTGGTGAAATTTGAATTTGATACATCATATTCGTTTTATTAGCTCGGCCTCTGTAGTGCCACAAATTCGATAGGAAAGGTCTTTAAACAATAATATTTTTTACATGTTACTGCACATGATGGCACTATATGTATAAATTAAAAATCTATTATAAATTGAAACAAAATACGATTCGGGTAGGACTTACAAGAGGTACATGTCATCAATAGGTTGAAAAAATTCGACAATGACGTGTAGGACTCGGTTGCTAAATTGGTCAGAGCAACAGCACGGAACGCTGTGGATTCCGGTTCAAGTCCTGGCCGAGTTGTATTTTTTTTACAAATTATAATCGATTTTTAAGTTCTTCAAGACTATTACATTCATAGTGTTCAACTATCAATGGTCCGTTGCTGGTGTGGGCCTCAACCACACCACTTCTGTGCGGGTTAGCGAGCTTTAACCACATTTAAATTAATGTTAACATGTACCGACAGATTAGTATTCTCAAGTATTTTTATATATTTATTTAATTCAGTATTATTAGTTTTCGTGTAGAATATTTTTTTGCATTAAATCTATATAACACAATATGCCTTTAAAAATAACACAATTAAAAATAACATACAAGTTAATATAATATACAGAAAGTATGCAAATGATATGTATTATGAAAACTTGTGTCCCCGTACTAGTTATAATAACTGTGTCGCGGTAGGTCTGTGGATTTCCGAATACCCAAAATCAAAATGGGTCGACATCGCATCTTGTGCAGATGTTATATGGCTGAGGTATTTCACCTCCTATCAAGTGAACCCTAAGCTTGTTCCTCTATCATTAAAAAAATCACTAGTTTCTGTGTTTTGAAATCGGCCATATTTGTAGTGGTTTTTTGCCAAGTTAGAAAAAATACACTATAGAAAGATTCTTTCAAATACCGAACACTCGGCCCGCACCCGCAGTGACATAATAACCGTTATATATTAAACCATTATACTTTCGTTCGTTAGACTTACGTCAGCTTGACTATTCATATAGGTGAGTTGGAGCCGTCTATGTTCCTGAAACGCATTACGTAGAAACTGTTTGTCTCCATATACAGCGATGCCCAACTCTTCACGTTTCGTGGTTATGTCTTTGCGCAGTTGACGAATGTCGCGACAGTAGCGCTTCTTTTGTTTCGCCAAATCGCCCTCGTGGATTTTACGGTCTCGCTCTGATAAAATGTAAATAGATCAGTTATATTTGCAGCGTGGTTGATAGACACAGATATTTTTATATGTTAGCTACAGCAGAACGGCATTTTGACAAAATTGAAAGCCTTCTTATGGATGAACAATTAACGTTAGGATTAACTTAATATGTTCTTATAAAAAAATACGTTTTAACAGTAAAAAAAAAAAATAAATTTTTGTGTTTTAATAGTTGTCGGTGTTTTGGATCAAAAAAGAACGTTTTTGAACGCATTACCGGCTGTTGTAAATTGACATAGACATGCTTCGTATCTCGTACATAAAGAAATTTAAATAAAACACTAACGGTTTAAAACGCGATATGTTAGTTAAACTTATTTACTAAACTTATTTGTTTAACTAATATATCGCGTTTTAAACCGTTAAAGTGTTTTATTTAAACCATACGAGTAGCTTAACACTGAGCATTTAAATTTGTGCATTTGTCCCAAGTAAACATAATACGTAGTTGAGACACAAATTTGATAAAATTGCCTTTAAATATTCGTTTCCCTTTATAAATCAGGTGGTAGACATATTTCTGTGCCTGTGTCACTGATTCACTGTCTACATACAACATATAACTAGACTTTGTGTGTGTATAGTGGATTCCGAAATTCGGTTGTCGATTTGAGTACAGTAATTCTTAATAAAACGCATTTGTTTGTAGTCTACATTTACAAAATTGAAAAGCCATTCTTAGTTGTCTTGAACTTTCTGAATGCAGTCATAATTATGGCAATGTTTTAATATATTATCGATTGATTAAAAAGATGGTAAAGGGATATTCCTGTTTTAATTTTCAGGGTGATAATAGAACGCCATTAGTCCCTTTCAAAGTCTTATTGAACATGGCACAATGTAAATGTCAAAGGCTTCATAGTTCATACATTAATAGACCATAATAATAGATGTGGAATTCTTGAAACTGTCTCGGTGTCGTACTTTCAGTCTTTGTGTTCTAATGCACTTATAAAGTTTATAGATCCCCATTGTTGGGTATTGAAAGACATGTGATACTTAAAGTATTGTGATAGGACGTCAACACAACTGTAACAATCATTAAATACTGTCTATAGTTTACGCGAGTAGTACACATTTAAATAAAACACTTTAACGGTAGAGGGAGTCTCCCCGTGACGACGGCTGCTGCAAAGCATCCGAAACGTCGGGCCGAAGTTAAAAATCATTTTCAAATAAGTTTCACTAATATATCGCGCTTTAAACCGTTAAAGTGTTTTATTTAAATGTAACATTCATTATCTGAATATCAAAAAATAGGAAATTAGGACTGTATCCCATTGAGTCACGAACTAGCGTACTCAAGTTTGCGTATCGGTTTCAGATAGCGGTGTTTCAACTGTCGAAAGCCAATATAGGGCAACAGCACAATTTAAGTAAATAATATTCAACCATGTGTTTACAAAGACGGCGTAATACGTAATCCTTAGTCTTAATTTATCAAACGTTGCATGCGGGTAGAATGGTAAAAATAATGTTGATTTATATCGTGTTCTCAAGTCACTTACTTGTTACTTATCATGTATCTTTTTTTGAGAAATAAACATCTATAAACCTTAATATATATCTAAGGCATTTCATATCTCATCTTGTTTGTCCCTGTCTGTCATATAAACAACAGGTCGCTTTCAACCTTAATATTTTAAAGAAGTAAACTAATATAAAAACAGTATTACTTGCGATTCTACGATTAGTCGCAGCGTCCGACAAGACGGATGTCGGAAAACGCACCATGGTAACTGGCTTTGTTTGAAAGTCGTCTTTGAAAGACTTAAGTCTTCTTCACACTTTATTTAAAATGTATTCCAATGTTTTATATCTTATGTGAGTGAAACATATAGACACGCCTTCATAAGTCTATTGTGTTCTAAATATTGCCCGATTTGTTTCTATAATACAAAATTATTTAATAGGGCGTACACAAGTTGATCGTAGGGGTATTCAATATTTGTATAAAAATTCCTGTTTTTGCTTTACCTCTTTAAGGAATTGGGACTATATTTATTATAAATCTACTTTGCCTAAAACATAACTGCATGATATATATAACGACTTTAGATATTTGGAAATGCGATTAAGTTCACGGTTTCTCCACAAGTGGTCGGTGGTTGGTGACTAGAACGGCTATCGATATTCCCACCACTTCTTAAAAAAGTATATATTGAGTATAATCATGATAAACCCAGGCAGGATTCAACCCGTTGATTAATATAATTTACATTCTGTATGCCAAAATAATAAGTTTTGGGCCTAATTCTACTGTCTAAAGAAAATAATTTGAAGAGATAATATATAATTCAGCACGGTGAATCAATTTCATCTTTACTATTATAGACGACTTACATTATGGCTTGTTTGACATAGTATAAACAATTTGACAGTCTAGACTTATGAAAGGAGTGGCGGCGAGTTTCTTGCCAGTTCTTCTCTTTCGTTCTATGCCCCTAATTTGGTTCCCAAATGAAAATTACAATAGGGCGTATGTAATTTTAGAGATATTTTTAAATCTAACTATTAGTGTATACTCTACACTAGCTACCTTGCCTTAGGTATATTATATTGATGATATTGATAATACGTAAGCTTTCCTAAATAAAATTATCAATATTGCACATGAAGGCATTATATATTTATCGAAATAAATTGATAAAACTCGGGGGGGGGAGGGGGGCGGCAGCGGAAGCCCCGCCGGGCCGGCGGGGGGGGGAGGGATCGAAGGGGGGGGGGGGAAAGGGGGAGGGGGGGCCCCCCCCCGGGGGCCCCGCCCCCCTAAATTAGGTTATTGATTCGATTTTATTTCAAATTACGTGTGCAATTTACGGTAGTATATCCTATAGACAAAAGACAATGGGAGAATCCATTTTGATTTAGAAAGAATGAGAAAAGGAATAAAATAAGATTAGTAAATAATTATTACACGTTTAACATTTCACATACGTATTATCAACTTCAACTACTATAAAATAATAAATAAATAATCTGTATTAAATCAAAAAAGTATATACTCCATCTTGATAGTCAATTGTCAAATCTGTCATCCTATATCGGAGAAAATATAAGGCGATATGTCAACCTACTTAATATTATTCCACATTACCTCTAGAGAATACGACGTAATCGGGTCATAGATTAATGTGCATGAATTATTTATACGTTGACTCATAATTATCCTTAGCCATTTTATTCAAATAGCGTTCGTAAAGATCTAAGTAAATAAATATATATTTAATGTACATAAGTATGCTAGTACCTACATGGTAGCAAGAAGCAACGTCTGTCAACATCAATCCATCGAGTCGTTGGTTCGTTCCCCAACGGGTCAAACATTTTTCTAATCAATTTTTAATATTTCTGGAACATGTTGGACTTCGTCGGTAAATCTAGATTTTAAATGGGTGGTGGGAATATAAAAATTTCGACGGGGTCACGAAACACGTACAAAGGTTTCAGTCTTTAGATATCTGAACATCCAAAGCTAAATTAAGTCGATAACGCATCTTGTTTAGATGCTATAGGCTGACTATATAGAAATGCCCATCAAGTGAAATAGACGCCCCGTACATCGAAAACAAGGTTATTTTCAAATAAGATCTTTAAAAGAAAGGAAGGAGGAAGGAAGAAGGTTTAAAAAGTTACAAAGTGACGGGAGAAGGCAAAAGATCAGTAGCAATAAATTCCTGGTATTTTAAGACAACAGTTCTCAAAACACGGTACAAGGTACAACCAACGCACCAATTCACTGGTGATGGTATAGTGGTATTCGTTCTCAGTTGTGATGAAAAATATTTTAATGTTTAGGCGGATTGAAGCTCTAGCTGGCGTGGCAGGTCTACTTTGCTAGGCGCTTAACTACAATAGTTAAATGCAACAAGGATGAATTAGAATATAAGTTAAATAAGAAACTGTGATAGTTACGTACTACACGCAAAGAATCATTATGATTATTCTTATAAGTAATATAATATCTTATTGTAAGACTCACCATATAATTTAATTAGACCACGATATTGGTTTATTTTGTCTTTAATAACCCAGTTCTCATCTTGCATTCCGTGAATACGGACTTTCGCCGCTGATAACATATTGGTTGGTATTGATAAATATCTTTTTAAATCTCTTTCAGTACAAAAAACGTTTTGTTATCACAAAATATTGCTGTACAAATGACATATAAATATTATAAAGGACATATATTTATTTTTTCAGTCTATGTAAAATGTTATTCTAATTTTGAAAGGCTCTTAATACACTTCTCCATAGACTCAAACATGTCAAATATATGTTACTACTAAAACTAATTTGACGTAATAAGTGATATCCCAAATATATCAAACAAGCTGCGTCAGCGACTTCGTCCGCGTGAAATGGTTATTTTGGGCATCCAAATTTACAAACAAACAAACCCTTTAGCTTTATATATTAGTATAGATTAAAAGCCCCAATACTTTCAGCATTAGTAACTACGAGTATATAATCGTACAATAGAGGTTTAAATTGAAAATCGATGTAAGATTGAAAAAGATTAAACCAGCTCCCACTATATACCGTGCTGTTCTCAAACCAATTGATCTACGGTGTCCTTCATGTCTTCGAATTTTTTCAACCTATTGATAGATGTACCTCTCGCGCACCTCTCAAAGATTTTCGTTTAGTCGTGTTAATATTTTGTCCCTTAAAAGTATGTACTTACACTAAGCTCCATTGAATTCACCAGCAAATAAACATTTCACTTTGACATAAATAAGTATAAAGTGGAAATATTTTGTACGGTGCATTTGCTGAATCGTGGAACCCACGGGTACGTCAAAGTCACAATATAAAGCAATCTCGAAATTCTCAACAAGCAAATACAGCTACATTTTTCAAACGAAAGCATGTTATGTGTAATTGTCGAATACTTTTCAACGGCAACTTTAGCCCTGTCCAATACTCGCAATATTGCAATATTCTTGCTATATGTTGACCCTTGAAATATATACTGTAATCGTTTCATAAAGCAAAGAAATGGGTTGAAAATATCTATCTTAAAAAAATACGTATACTGAAGTAACACCTTGTGATGTGCAGTCGAAAGCAGCAGGCCATGAAAGCGGTTATTACAATTGAATTATTTCGTGTATAGGTACATTTAATAATTGTGTTGAAAACCTCTAGGTGTTTTCAAAAGTAAACTCTCAACATACATTAATGTGAAGAGGCAGCGAAAGATCATACACGCGACAATAGTAGGGAAAAATTTAAATTACTCTAAATACACGTCAATCTCCGAAAGTACTGTACAAACCCTTCACGGTTTCTACTAATTGATAGACTGTACTTAGATGTCATTTGAAGTTATTATGTCTAAAGTTCTTGAGAGCTGAAATTAAACATATTATAGGTTTTAAATACTTTATATCAAACATTCTAATTGTTCAACTTTGTGCATTCTGGATCTCCTAATACGGAGCACAACGCTCGATGTGTACGGTCTCCACATTGGGTACCGTGGGGGCAATTGCTGCAGCTAGGTCCAGCCTCATAAATTGGAAATCCTTCAATATTACCCGCTGGCCCATAGTTACAAATGGTAAACGCTAAGATTTGGCTCTGCTTTCTTCTCTCTTCTTGATCCCCCAACTCAAATATCCCACGATGTAACGGAGATTCTTTTAAGCTTGTATCAATACTCACATTGAAGTCTTCAAATTTTGTCGACCTGGGGGTGGTAAACTTAGTCCTACGAAGTAAGTTCTCGGTTATCGTCGAGGTACGTGTAACCTGAAGCGTATCAGTGGGAGTGGGTGGCGTTCTTCTTTTTCTGAAATGGACACACGACCGCCTCTTAGATGTGCACAGTGCTTGTGAACATCCTAATCTCCATGTGGAAGCCCAAGCAGCTGTAGAATACCAGTGTGCATTGCAACCACCAGGAGCACTGCAATTACTCAACCTGAAAGACCAAACGTGGTCAGGCTGCAAGGATCTCGAACCGGAGAACCAACCGCCAACCGCATCAGCCAAAATTTGAGCTTCCGTGACCCTTGGCACTACCGGCCTTACATCGATATTCTGAAGAACGTTGAACCTAATCGTATTTCTGCATTCGTCGTGCCGCTTCTGGCATTGCCGTGCCCAGAGCTCTGCCATTTCTTCCAGCTCATAATCCCAGTACATCTTTCGCATATTTGTAGCTTGAGGTTGCCCGGGTTCTAATCCCATAGCTACATTATCCCGTTGTCTATTATGCAAAAGTAGGATTTGATATCTCATCCACCGGGTCATTCCAGAGGCGAACAACCGTGAACTTTGCTTATTCTTAGCAACGCACATTGTATGCTGATTTTTCAAGGAACAATCGGGATGATTACAGTAGTCAGTAAATGTTTTTGTTGTATTATTATCGCTAAAGGCAAAACCCCAAACTAAAATATTCAAAATAAAAAATACGACAAACATTATGTATTTACTATTAAAAATATGTCTTACGTAAATATAGATAGGAAAGTTATTTTGGATTAAATATATTTCAATCTGACAAGTTCATATTAAGAAGAAATTTAGTTATATGTCACCAAGGGGAAATCCGAAAAATGAGTGGAAAGGTTCGACTTCTTAAAAAAATACTGAAAGGTTTACTTAAATTAATATCTGTTTATTTTTAACTACACCTTGACGTGGTCTGTGCACGGAACAGTAGATTTTGATGATTTTTGACATTTAAAACTATTTTTGGTTATATTTTATCATAATTATTATTTATCTAATGGCCTACAAAATTGTACAATTGGCTTTACGAAGTATCCTGCTAATAATGATGGTGCTGGGATTTTTCTTTAATTCGGAATGTAGCAATTTACCATCCATGGCACATTTTATTACTTTGGGAGTGTATGGCAGTTACAGTATTATTATACTTGGTTTATTATTAGAAATCGGCTTAAATATTACGTCCGATAAATTTATCGTATCGTCATTTCTTATTATGGGAATAGTTCTAAATATATTATGCGGAATCTTATCAATTGTTGAGTTCTACACTGAGTATCATTTTAAGAAAAATCAAAGCATTCATTTGGCCCTGGTTTCTTTTTGTAGTGTATTTGTTTTTCTAATTGATTATAGTGTTTTTTGAATATATTTTTTATGTTATGTATTTTTTTTTGTTTGGATATAATAATTGTGTTCAGTTATGAGAGTTTATTTTTAAATTTATTTATATTAAATATCAATAATTATTTCATAGGCGTTATGCATTGTTTTCTTTTTATTTAATATGGATCGTGCAGGTGTCCGAATAATTATTGAGGTAATAGAAAGCGAATAACAAGTAGTTTTAATTTGTATATATAGGTGCCACCTTAACAAAAATTAAATACTAAAACCATTTAATAAACAGCAACGTAGTGTTTTGTTGAGATTCAAAAAGAAGTTATTTATTACGAGGTATATTTCTTTTACAGTACGCCTTATGATAAATAATTATCTACAATTTTCAAAATCAATAATGCTCTGTTAGTTATCTGTGCTCTAATGTTTTCATCTGTTATGTGTGTGGGTATATGTCAATATATGTCAATGTCAGCCGTCTGGCATCTCGTACTTTGGTCCTTATGCAGTCTATAATACGTATATAGTCTATAGATATGCCCCTAATGTTGCAGTGTCAAATGTCAATTATGCCAACGAAGCTTAGTTTATTTTTCTTCCCAATTATCATTATTTAAATATCTGTGGTGTTGTTGTGCTTCAAGATTTATTTACTTTCTTAAGAAAAACAGGCCAAGAAATTGTTACATTTTAATATCTCTCTGTTTTTAAGACAAAAATGAGCTTACACAAAGCAAGGTAGGTAGAATTTACTTAAATTTAATTATTATATTAATGTTAAACGAAGATTATATTTGCAGAGGGCGTAATGTATAGAAAAACAGTTTAGATTACTTATTCAAATAAGAAGACTTTTTACTATATTATAAAAGATTGAAGTATCTAAGTTTTTATTTTATTTTGGTATGTAAATAAATAAAAATGTTGTTGGGAATTATTACAAAATCTCTTTTGTTACAATTATTTTTTTTACACACTCTTCTAAAGTCTAAACTTCATCCTTATAAGCAGAATTAACTTTATTTAAATAAAGCTCTTCAACTTCTACCATCTTTATTAACTTTGGATAGTTTCTAAAACATATTGCACATTTATCTATCAGAAGTTTAACATTTTAACTGGTTTTTATGTTCAGAATCAAAGCTTTTGAAGAAGTGTTAAGCAAAGATGAAATAGATATGGATCATCTGCGAAGATTAGCATTTAATGGTAAATACAGTCTCTGTATGTAACTTTCTAAACTATCATTATTATAGAACTGTTTGCTTCTTCCATTTGAAGACTCAGTATATGCAAAAATAGTACAAATCTGATGCAATGGCATAGCTTCCGAAATATCTAGAATCTTTTCATTGGGGTTGGGATGGCAAAAATATATCTGTGTATGTTAAGTATCATGAAGAATTTTTCATTTTGTCAATCTCCCTTCCTGTTTCTAGAAACTAAATTTAAAAGTCTGCATTTATTTTTTATACATTAGTGGAGAAGACTAATAGGTATATTTATTTAAAATAATTTGTTGATAAATGTTAAGGTATTCCTGAAGAAAAGGGCCTGCGCCCCCTTGTCTGGAAAATTCTACTTAATTACATTCCACCTGAGAAGAACGCTTGGGAGTCCACATATGACAAAAACCGGCAACTTTATAAAGAGTTTATTGGTGAGATTGTGAATCAACATATTTATTGAATTGTATTTTTATATATTATGTTCATTGTTTGATAAAGATTTTAAGACGTATTTAAATTTATTGATTTTCATTCCCAAGAAATACATAAAGTACAGAGTTTGTCTGTCTACCAGCAGGATGTACCTAATTATTATTTTTTAACATCTTGTTTATTTTATTTTGTCTAACTAATTTAATAAATATCAATAATATACCCTACAGTAGATTTGTGAAAGTGTGTTATATCTCTCATATCTAACTCAATGCCAATTTTTATGTTTTCAGAGGAAATGATAGTGTCACCAGGTGGTCCCACAGACCATCCTCTAAGTATAAGTCCTGGCAGTTCTTGGAGTAAATATTTCAAGGATAATGAAGTACTTCTTCAAATCGATAAAGACGTTAGAAGGCTCTGTCCGGAGATGTCTTTCTTTCAATCTGCCACTGAGTTTCCTTGCGCTGAGGTTGGTTAAAACTAATATAAAAATAAATTATGTGTCTTGTGTTAATACATATCTTAAGTATAATTTATATGTACCCTTTACTATTTAAGGTTGTCAACAGCAATGGAGTAAAACGTTTACACAAAAGAGTCGAGCAATCAGTATTGAACTACTCCACTTTTGAACAGAGAGGCTTGGGATTGGCAAAGGTAATTTGAATTTAATGTCATTTAAGTGTTACCTGTTATTTGATCATTTAACTTTCCTGTAAATACTTTTGGCTAAGTTGCTTAGGAAGCATATAATGTAAGTAGTTAAAGAAGGCTGGCTCGTCTTTAAAGAACAATTTTGACATCTTCTTATATACCTAAATAAACTTGGTTATATTATAAATCTTATACTCTCTAAGGCATGTGTCCCAGAAGTGGGTAATGTCAAAAGAGCATGACATGAAAATAATTATTTAATCATCGCAACACAGTTTTTAAATAAGTATTAATAATGAAAATATTGGGATAAAAATAATTATTACAAGTAATGGAGTTCAATGGCCGGCTTTGCCGCTATAGAGCGATCCTATCAAGGCAATTTCTTTTTGGGAATAACAAAACTTTCAAAGTTATTTAAAAATTATTCTAACTACAGTACGATAATATCGTGAGGTATCGTGACTGATAATCCGATATATATATCGGATGCTTTGCAGCGTCGGTATTTACAGGAAGACGTCGGGGCGAAATTAAAATAAGTAAAACTAATATATTTCGCGTTTTAAACCGTTTAAGTATTTTATTTAAAAGATGTACCTTTACAATACAAAAATAACATTTTTTGTTTTTTTTTTAAAGTTCTAAAACAAACTGTTGTAATAAAGAACTATTTATAGCTTAACAACGCGAAACGGCGAACTGAAAGCTTCTCCAGCGGAGATTACGTGCCATTAACAGAGGGCGCTGAAGCACATTGGGAAGTTGTTGAGAGAATGCTGTTTTTGTACGCGAAGTTCAATCCCGGGCAGGGTTATGTACAAGGCATGAACGAGATTATTGGCCCTATATACCACACGTTTGCTGTCAACCCCAATATAGAAGAAAGGCGTAAGTTGACATTTCCACTAACTAGTTGTGTCCCGCGAAGAATAGTTTGTAATTTGAGCATCGAAATTTGCTTTGCAAACCTCCTCTCCATCTTTATAACCTTGTGACTTAACGACGGTTTCCCGCTGTCTTTCGCTGCTACTAGAGAACCAATAGATTGTTTCTGTCGGGCAGTTCAATCAAATACATACAGTGGGACAGACACATAAATGTGCTCGCCCCATGCCCCAAGGAGGGAATTTCACTACTAAGTTAACTAATATATTTCGCGTTTTAAACCGTTAAAAGTGTTTTCTTTAAATGTGTACTCGTGTAAAGGCATTAATATTTGCAGGCTACGCAGAACCGGACTGTTTCTTCTGCTTCACCAACCTCATGGCTGAGATACGCGATTTGTTCATAAGATCCCTGGATGAGACGGAGAGTGGTATCAACAACATGATGTCGCGGTTAAGCGAGTGTCTGAAACGAAACGATCCGGTTGTATGGGAACAATTGAAAAAGCAAGAGTTACGCCCGCAGTACTACAGTTTCAGGTAATGCTTGACTCATTTTGTAGTTGCAGCACTTGCATTCCTTCTCTCGCAAAGCCTAAACAAGATCCCTGTAAAAACATATATGTAAAAAAGGGGAGCCAAGTTCATAACAAAAATCGAAGTAAAGGAACAATAATTAATAAACTCTATTTCTTTGTTTAATTCGATATGTCTTGTGATATGTGGCTTGGCCAGTAATTGTCAGCATGAAATATAATTATATATCTATACTAATACTAGCTGAGCCGGCAAACGTTGTTTTGCCATATAAATAATTTTACTAAAATGTTTATTAAAAAATAAGGGTTGATCGTAGAGGGGTGTTGTCTCATAAAATAGAAGTTAAAAATTTTGTCTAAAAAATAAAATTTAAGGGTGAACAACCCTTATCATTTAGGGGGATGAAAAATAGATGTTGTCCTATTCTCAGACCTACTGAATACATATCAAATTTGGTGAAAATCGGTCGAGCCGTTTCGGAGGAGTTCAAGTTCGAACACCGTGACACGAGAATTTTATATATTAGATATGTATAAAGCTGAAGAGTTTGTTTGTTTGAACGCTATAGGCTATAACACAGCGCGCTGCGACTAATAGAAGATACAGCAGGGAAATGTTAACAAAACGGGGTAAATTTTTCATCTCTGTGGGTTTCAGATGCGAAAACGGTTCTGATAAAAAATGTGTATGAAAGAATGATTCCCCTTTAAATGATCTAAATCTATGTTTTAGGATTAATTTGCAAGAACGACGAGAAGGGACGCGATCGACGTCGTGGCTAAGAGCTTAAGTTTATAAAGATGACGGGTTTGAAAAACCTAATTCGGATGCCCAAAATAACGATTCTCGTGGACGAAGTCGCTGGCACAGCTAGTGTATAATATTAACTGAATTGTCACCGGGTTTTTGTTATATTTATATTTATTAACTATCTTGAATATCGTTTCATCTTTACGTTAAATAAATTTAAAGTTACAGAGTGGTTAAAAGCACGAAATGGTTCGTGTAAAGATACACTTATCATCAGCCAGTTTCAAGCAAAGTAATAATTTTAGTGTACGGACCGGGATCGAACTCATTAACCTTCGAAGAGCTGAGTGCACACACTATTAGACCGGCACTCCCGATTGATAGTAGAAAAACTTTTAACTCAAACATTTTAACGGTTTAAAACGCGAAATGTATTTTTTAACTATGACGTTATGACAACCGGTAGTGACTGACCACTGGTTTACCATTTAGAACTGTCTGTAACTACAGACAATATAAAATAATTCGGTTATTTACTACAATACATTTTATTTATTACAGATGGCTAACATTACTGCTGTGTCAAGAATTCAAGTTGCCTGACGTTGAGAGAATTTGGGATTCACTGTTCGCGGACCCCAAAAGAATAGATTTCCTCATCAACATCTGCTGTGCCATGATAATGTATGTACCTAATAATATCGATTTAAAACACTTTTAACGGTTAAAAACGCGAAATGTTAACCTGATTTAGAAATTACTTCACATACGGGCCGACGTTTCGCGTGCTATGCAACAGTCGTAATCACGAGGAGCCTTATTTCGCAAAGTTAAAAATTTCGCGTTTTAAGCCGTTAAAAATGTTTTATTAAAATGTGTACTACTTGCAAACCTACAGATAGTACCGTATGTTACTGGTTTAACTCAATAATTAAAATCACTTTTATGACCACTTATCTTTTAAATTTTTGAGTGATCTTTGTTAACGTCTTTCAGCTTTTTTTTTAACTTAGCAAGAAATTGTGGTTTTTAATAGGTAAATTTGAGGTAGTTCTTTAGTTTAATATATAATCCAGTGTCTCAAAGTGTTTTTAGCGTGAATCAATGTAAACCATGTGAAAAAAATACAATTGTGTGTTCGTTTAACAAAAATGCCATGTAAGAAAAAATAAAGTACAATACTGATTTTCAGCAACCCTACTGTTCGTATGTTAGACAGCGATCATACAACCATTTTTTGCCTTCTCATTTCAGATTAGTAAGGAACGACATACTGATTGGTGATTTTGCATCAAACATCAAACTCCTACAACACTTCCCTCCAATGGACGTCTCTCGAATAATTAATGAAGCCATGAAAATCAATTCTGCCTAAATATTTGTACAAATCTAGAATATAGTGTAAATTATTTTTATTACACACGTTTAAATAAAACACTAAACAGTTTGAAACGTGAAACATAATAGTGTAAGAGAATCAAAAGTAACTTCAACTAATATTGCGCGTTTTAAACGGTTAAAAGAGTGTTATTTAAATGTGTACGACTCGCATCTACAGACATTACAGAATCTCCTTTTTCGTGAGGTTACACGTTTTTACTGTTTACATTAGCTTTTGTTTTTCAATTTTAGTTACTTCATTGATATTTATTTTTTAATACAATGAAGTAACTAAAATTGTCATTTTTACATTGACAGATTCACAGTCTTATATCTCCTAATTATGTTAACAATTTCCTGTCCTCTTGTAGATTGACATATTTAGACTGTGAAATTATAAATAACCCAAATTATCCAATTGCAGTTAGGCTATTCTGTCTCTTGGGTCTAGAATCCTTTCTAGTATTTCCGTGTACGTACCCATTTTTATTTTAGGTTCCTAATAAAACACTAGTTATAATTTTTTACGAATTTACAATTGGTTATAAATCGCCACATGATTGACCGATATTGAAGGCGTGCCATTTTCAAAGTTTTGTACGTTAATTAAATAATTTTAAATGTTTTGACACATTTTACGAAGCTATATAGGGACTTTTCTAAAACGACTGAAACTTCTATTATAAACACTAATACGTCATTAATTATACGCGCTAGGGCCAATTTTGTAGGTTAAATTTGATATCAGATAGATACATGACAAGTTTTTCTATAAAATTCTACAATAAAAAATTTGGACTTGAACCGGCATTTATAGCGTTCCGTGCTGCTGCTCTAACCAATTGAGCTACCGTGTCACGATTTGAATTTATATATAATGCCATCATGTGAAAAATATTAGTTTTTTACTATCTGTATTATTCTAAGTTTTTCCCGTTAAGAGATTTTTTTCTGCTGTCAATTGTGGCCTATTAAATTACATATATAATAGCACATAGCATAAGCTAATTAGTATAGATGTTTTTTGTATTTATTCTTTAAGAATTATAACGTCCATCCCTCTTCTAGCAGAATCTCATTAAAATCATGCTACTGTTTGCAATATACCTTTATTGTAGTAAAATATATTTTCATATCAACCTCGTGTCTTTACCGTTTTGTAGATGATTACTATTGTAAATATTAAAATGTACTAAAAGAGCTATCCTAATCCTAACGAATTTGACATTTCCTTCGGTGTTCAACTGTACGGTGTAATCTTTGAAACTATATCAAGTTAGGTATTTGAATTTTGTATAGATTTTCGTAGATACCTTCGTCTAAGTAGTAATTTAAAATTACATTATTCGGACTTTAACCAGTGATCGTTAGGATATAAGAATTAATGTAACTAACATAGGCTATGCGAGTAGTTAAGACGTACATCCATTTATAGCTTATCTTAGTATTTTCGACAATAAATAATATATCCAACCCATGTCGTCTCTAAAACTACATTATAAGACTTTGAATATAAATGTGAAGTGCTTGTCGAAATAAGATCGTATTTATGTATATATAAATAAAATCCCGGCTAAGTACCTCGTTAGTTTCAATAAAAACGAAATGACGGCTTTAAAAGATTTAATATAAATAAAAAATTACAATTAATCAATTTGTACATATTCATTGATAGACAATCATAATAGAAAGTAAATATTTTTTATAGAAATATAATGTCATTTTATATTTTTCGTACATACATACGGCGGTTCGAATATTGGTAAACGATATAATATTATTGCTTAAGTGAGAAGAAACGCATACATCAAAGGGAGACGAACTTGAAGCAAATTATTGAAAACGCTTTATAATATAGAACCTCAATGACAGAATTTTACATGCAAATAAAAAACTTTATTAAGGAACATATTGATTTACCTCAAGCCAAAGAATAGGTCGCGGCACGGATGATTAGCCCTGAACGAAATGTAGAGGAGATAGTTGCGCATTTTTCATCAATTGGAAGACGGGGCTGTACTCGAGAAGCAAGCGGAGCGTCGTATTGGTCCGAGAAAGACAACACGACCGCGGAACCAATCACCGCTAGCGCACATGACGTTCACTCGCCCCGCGCCCGCTTCCGTCCCTTCGATACCTTATTTTTGACTTCTGCGCAGGATTCATTCAGCGCTAAAGATCCGTGCCGCTACTTATAAAAGTAGTACTCACGATCAACTTGTTCTACAATAGAAATCGAATACTTTTCGCGTAACGATTTTTGGAAGGACCGTTGCGTCCAAAGCTACATCCAATAATTGGAACTTAAAGAAATAGTCAACGCTAGTTCCATTATCGATAATTATCATCTACCACATTACAAAAATTGTGCCATAGCACCCGAATTAAGATTAAATGAAAAACAGTAACAAACATACTGAAATCATAATTAAAAAGCTACGATCAGCCGGTTTTATTAGGATGTGGCGATAAGCTACCTTGATGTTGATATGAAATACGTTCAATGTTAAATAATTTAGTCTTAATATAGTCAGTGATGTTGCCAGTGCTTGAACAGGTTGAACAAATCTTAGTACCTTTGAAATATATGCCGAATTTCTCTCGTCAAACAGCAACTACGGTAAAGCAATTTGAAAATTTGATACACCACGATACATTCACACTCTCTCGCCGCGTGTATTTATATTGGAACCAGAAATTAACATGATTTTGCCGCTTACACCTAAAAACAAAATTGATTAAAAATCAAAATAATTTACGTTACATAACCATCAATAACAAATAACCTGGATAATTATATCTTAGTTTATCATTCTATTTACCTAACTACTTAAGGGAACTATTCCGTTCTCGGGACATGTCTAATCTCAAAATAAATTTTGCAATCCACAGCCGATGGCCGAATATTTCTACTGCCATACCTATCTAGATGTCGAATCTATAGCACTGTGGGATTATTCGATCGGGTAAAAAATATTATCGTAAATGACACTTAATCGTAATAAAAAAATGTTCTCACAGTCCTGCATAGCGAAGCCTCAATAGCATTGCCTAGAACGTTAGAGCCAATAGACAATGGTATTGAAGAACGCTTGCGTTACGCCAAGTATCGCTACGCTTAACAAAAGTCAAAATAAGTCATTATGAAATATACAGCATGTTATTCGTCTATACATATAAAATGATCGGCGACGGCTCTTTCGCACCACGTCAATATACGAAATACACATAGTAGTACTGGACGCAAGCGTGACTTCTCTTAAATGGGCCCTACGATGTGTTGTCTAACAATCATAGCGTTATATTTAATATCATAAGCATATTCCACGCGCTATAAAGGCGTAAACACTTCGTAATCATAAACAGTCTTTATTAACGACCTGTACGTCCCCCTCCAATTGACCACCCCTTTGTCCAATGTCTTCGTTATCCTTGCTACTCGGTTTACAAGCACCTTTATAGCCATGGATGGAAAACAGCTATTAAATGACACGATACAAATTGAATTTAATATAGTACAGTCACTGATACCGTCCCAATACTATGTTACTGATAATACTTTTTATAAATAAACATATAAAAATATACATTTAAATTATGTATTTAAACATTATTCAACACAGATTTAACTTATTAACAGTTTTAAAATAAATAATATTATGCATTGAAGTCGAGAGTTTAACAACTCCCGTTGTATACCAAATGATTTGTAATTATTAAAATTCTTTCATAATTGTTATAATTTTTAGTTAAATATAAGAATAATTTTTTAATACTTTTTCATTCACTAACTCTGGTATGATATCTGAAAAAAATTCCTGAGATTCTTCTTGCGAATGTTAATATAGATACTTTCATTATTATTAAAATTTTTGATAATTTAGTAATGAAAAGACAGCCATATTCTATACAAATGATGATCACAACACAACAATAACAGTTGCCTGAGTCAAAACATTTGATAAAATTAGTTTAGGATCATAGCCGATTGATGATTTCTGTTCTAGTCTCGGGGACAAATTTAATGTTGGCTATGTGATCAGCCAGACTAGTTATAATTGAAATGTTTGTACGCTATCACTCTATCGTAACTGTATACAAAAATAGTAGGGGTAAAATAGAACCGCTACATCCTCAAATGCAAGTGTGAGTGAAGAGACTGGCGGATGGGGTACAATGTACACACAAGACAAGGATAAAATGAAATAGCACCGAGTAAACACCGAAGGGTAAACGGTAGACAATATAAGCGGAGCGTCATAGTGTTACCGGTGTATGGCCAAAAATGGACCTCATTCCTAATCTAAACACAAACAGAACTACAGCTCATGGCAGCTGTCAAACTAAAGCGAAATTGATATTAGGATTTCTGTTCGGAAACACATTTCAGTTTGCCCGATAGAGGGTAATATATTTTCAATATAAAATGTTGACGTTATACAGTTGTGTCGGAGAGCATTTTTCAAATGTGGCTTTCTCTTGCCAAAATCAATCCACAATTTTGTAATTTTTAACTTGTCTGTTCTCTAAATATATTTCAAATGGCGCCAACAGCAAAACAAAAAATTATTGGCAAAATGGTGAAATGTCTTTCCGAACACAATATTTAACGGTTCAAGTCTACCTTACGCTTAGCTTAATGCGATTACGCAACGATAACGTATTGGATTGTAGATTAGGATTAAAGTACCATGTAGACATTACAGCTTTAAAAGCTTATTGGACGACGCAGCATTTGCATTTGGGTTTCTTCTTGAGGGTCACGTGTTCCGGCTGCAACGGCTCCTGGGGTGGGGAACGCTGGACCTCGACTTGGCCGGCGCGTACCTCGGTCACTGCTGTACCGTTTTTGGTGCCATTCATGGCTTTCGGTGTACTTTGTTGGACTGGACTGGCCACTTTAGTCTGCGGCGATGCCGGCGGACTGGCCTGTAATGGTAAATTATTAATTGAGTGAATAAAATTACATTTTGTGATATATTATATCTTATTTTATTGAATTAAAAATAGATTTCATCAGAAAAAGTACGGTCAAAATATATTTGTTGATGTGTTTATTCAATATATTGTCTATTTCGTCCGTGTAGAAAATTTGTTGTGGTTATCAAAATCATATTATTTATTTTTGAAAACAACCTTCTCATCTTTAAAAATTATAGCTATTAGCTACGATGTCGCCCGCGTCTTGTTATTCTTACCATTTAATTTTAAAAGGTAAGTTTAAAATCATTATTTCATTCATTTTTCTTGTTTATTACATAGCATATATAGTTTTTCGGACTGTTCGGCCGACGTTAGCAAGACGTTCTCGACGTTTCGCCATCGCGAGCGGATGGTACCATCGGGAGATATTAGCTCAAAGAATTCTTCGAGCATATCGAGAACCTCTTCTTGCTTACGTCGGCCGAACAGCCCGAAAAACAATGATAAACATATTCTACGTCTTCACAAGACTTAACTGTAAACTCAATGAATAGATGTACTTAATATTCCAAGCTTGGGCCCTTTAAGTAACCATATACAGATATTCTGAATAGAAAGCTACGTGCCGCTGAACATCCGGAGCTAAAACGTCACAACTATGAACTATGAAATAGACGGGACGGAACAAACGAAACAATAATTCTGAACAGTAATAGAGTAATTGGTGAATTATTTGTGCCTAATTCGCTACATATTTGGCCTGTTAAGCTAATTACCTCAATTGGCAAATGATAAACTGCCCCGTAGGTGTATTAAGAAATTAAGGCCGGTACGTAAGCAATATTAAAGTCTAGTTGTACCAATTTGATATTACTAAGTATATGTTTTTCTAATCCTTACTAATATTATAAATGCGATAGTAACTCTGTCTGTCTGTTACTCTTTCACGCCAAAACTACTGAACGGATTTGAATGAAATTTGGTATACAGATGGTCTAGACCCTGAGAAAGGACATGGGCTACTTTTTATTGCGAAATTGGGTTAAAAGTTTGTATGGTAATTCGTAGTTTTTGAAGCTAGAACAATGAAACTTTCTTCTGGCATTTTGGGAATAGTAGTGGGAGTGGGAGTTGGGAGTGAGTGTAGGAATGAGAGTGGGAGTTAGAGTAGGAGTGATGTGAGGTGAGAGTGTTGCGGCAAAGTAGCACTTACCATAGATTGGCTGCCTTAAATGGGCCCTTACATAAATTAATAAACAGCCTCAATAATTAAAAATTCTACCCCAATTCACTATTTCAGGCGGACGAAGTCGCGGGCACAGCTAGTACATAATAAGTAAGAAAAAACCTAGTGTATATTGCAAATTTAAATAGTGTGTTCTTAGATGCTATATGGTTTGCATGTCTATCCTTCTCTATCATAAAAGAAAAACCCCTATAGAGGAACGGACTTATATATTTCTAGGCCTGTTTCAATAAGCTTTGGTGTCGTACAAACGTGTTCCCAGGGCTCCCTCAAAGCACCGTAGAGGGCTAATGATGTGTTTAGTGGTTCTGGTCGGCTATACGATTTGTCTCACTACTTATTATTGTGAACTAATTATTGCGTTATTAGTCTCAACTGAACTAAGTAGTTCTGTTTTAAGTCTGTAAAACAATACGGTCAAAATGTGTTCGTCCCATACCCTACGGGGGTAAACCGGTATTCACTCTGTTTTAAGGAGAAACAGTAATGTAAATAAACAGTTTTCCCTAATAAGTAAATTGCAATGAAAAGTCAAGTTTAATAATGTAATAACTTAATTTATTTCCTTTCTCTTTGTAATATAAACCTTAAACCAACTGTAGGTCACAATGAACACTTTATACCGTAACAAGTTGAAATTGATGCAGTAAAGTTAGTTACAAGGTCCAATAAAGCTCTAACAAAGAAGTACTAAAGCACTGTGCAACTTTGTTAACTTCTAGTAGTTCCGTTTAACTTTGTTTCGAATAGGATTGACACGAGAAAAATAAAATATTAACTTTAACATTTTGAAACGCAAATACATTCGTTAAAGATTGCAAGTGCCAGGGTCCCGTTACCTTCTTGTAGTTAAGAACAAACTTTTAAAGACTCGATGGTCTAATGATAGCAGAGTACGGTTTATAATCAACGGGTAAAGGCTTCGATCCCCTCAGGGACTGTTTCTAATCACTCTGGAATCGAAAAAATCGTATATCGTCATTTTTATTTCTTAAAGAATAATATTATAAATAATTGATGACAATATGTTGCATCAAACTATTAAAAAAAAACACACACACACACGGAATCGAATTGAGAACCTATTTCATTGCAGTTCGGTTATAAAATGATAGTTACAAGTATAAGTTAGTTCAAGTGATTTTAAAAGAGTAAGATGTTTGTTGCAAATAATGAATGGCAAAGTAGAAATCGTATAAAAGTGTATTAGTTAGTAGTAGGTGAAGAGAGACCTCCAACAAATATGGCCGATTTCAAACCATAGAGACCCAGGAACGACCTTTTATATAGTGAAGTTGATGCCACAGAGATAAAGAATTATCGATGTAAATGTCAAACTTAAGAAATTTTTTTTGAGTGAATCTGTCCATTTATTTGCTATTTTTTTGAATTTTTATTAATTTAGTAAGAAATTGTGGTTATTACTAAGTGAATTTTAGTTTAATATATAGACTTTTTAGTGAGAAAATTACACTTTAGTTTAATTCTTACTTACGTTCACATTATTAGCGACAGTCTTCTCCTCTTTGTCCTCATCAGCGGGGAGCAACGGATTACCGGCTGGTGGTGTTGGCGTGATGGGTTTCCCACCCTTGATCAAAGAGACGATCTCATCCGCCTCTCTGCTCAGGTCACCGTCAGGCCGGAAGGGGTTGTCCCAACCGCTCTCCGTGCTGGGGATAATCAATATTATACTTTAAAAATGTTATACTGAATAGAGATGTTCACTAATTTTGAGGAAGTATTGTAAATTATAGAGAAATACCATATTTAACCCCCAATATTAAAATGATTTTTATGTCTTTAAAAAGCCCTAAATCATTTTTAAGATTTTCGGAAACATCGTATTATGTGAACGGTCATTAGTTACTGTCACGGCTTCTTGAGACAGAGTAAACTTTTAGTGAACTAAACAAACGAAGACACGTTAGCTCTAAGTTTGATGTGTCCTAAATACCTCTATGCAATTGCAATACTTCTGAAAAAATATTTATTTATGTTCCTCGTTAAGCAAAACTTTATATAGATGGGGATCACCTTCTACAAGTGACCCACGATTGTCTATCCTAATCTGTCATTAAAAACAAAAGATTTAGCTCAACTTAAGCAACATATAGACGTTATTTTATTAACGTGAGGTAGTGTAAATTAAAATATGATTTACACGAGTTACACACTTCTGAATAAAACCCTTCGAACGGGTCTTAATTCATATGGTCCGATGTTTCGGATATTTTGCAGCAGGTCAAATCTGCCACGCTGCAGTAGCCGCGTTCCAACCGTGACATCGGCTGCTGCAAAGCACCCAAAACGTCGAGCCGCAGTTAAAATAATTAGTAAACAAGTTAATAATATATTTCGCGTTAACTGTTAACACTGTTTGATATGCGCATATGTAAAATCATTAAAAACTTGTATACGACTGATAATTTAAAAGAGAATAAAAATAACTATATTGCCAGTGCTGTATTATTATATTTGTTATTTTAATGTGTTAAAAATTGTGCGACGTCCTTAAAGTGCTTCGCACGAAAGATGTTCTCAAATATACAACCTACTCATTTCCACCATGCGCAATTAACCTTGACCATATGTTATTTAACGGTGTTTATATAAGCAAATTCGACACACCTGTAATCAAGTGGGTGTACATTTGATGAGTCACAGCGCAAGTGTCAATATTATTAAGTTTATCTTAAGTCTTGATTGATCTTACTATGTTAAGTCATAAAAATAAACATTGAACAAAACCTAAAAACGAACGCATACAACCGCGCGTGCGCATTTCTTATACATACTTCATTTGTAAGTACATCTTGTTACTTGAAAATGGTGACGAAACAGGCGTCGAACCTGTCATAACGCTCAATTAGTAAAAGCAAAAACGTTGTAGTAGTGTGTGCTAGTCTCGTCCGTGCGATCAAAATTGAACGCTGATTTTTTTTTTAAATGCGTTTAAAATTATATAATTGTACATGTGAAAATAATTGTTTATCAAATGTTTGAAAATATATTCAATCTATATAGATTTTCAATTCACGTTTCTAATAACGAAAAATAAACAAACGAGACCTAATGATCTATTAAATGCGCAGACGTCATCGGACAAACTCGCGGAAGAGACGAGACGAAATACACTTTTCTCGTCGTCCTTGTTATACTTATATTATAATGATTCAATCATACAAGGTCGAATAGATCTTTGGACTTGACCTTTCAATCGAAACAATTTATATTGGTCGCGTTTACGGGATGCATGACAGAATTCGGAATGTTTTGGAAATGTATAAAGCGTCAACGAATAATATAACATTTGGAATTAACGACGTCGGCCTCTGGCTGATTTTCAAAACGGTGGGAATGGAAGCCAAATAATTACGCTTCACAATAAAACGCAATATATAGTTATTTTAAGAAAATTTTGCAGTGTTTCTGGACCTTAATCGAGTTTCTACCACATGTATAACTTAATGAGTAAACGGGTTCAGATGTACTGGGATCGAATCCCGGGGTAACAAAATGGTTTCAGGGTACAGACCTCTGATCAGTTAATGAGAATTCTGATACAGAAATGTATTCACGGTGGACATTCACTACTAACATAGCTAGTACAGTGTGTATTTTGAATAGTTGTAATAGTATAATATCTAGACTCGTGGGAAAGGATTATGTAAACAATAATACAACGGGTATAATAATATAAAACACTTTAACGGTTTAAAACGCGATGTATTAGTTAAACTTATTTGGAAATGATTTTTAACTTCCGCCCGACGTTTCGAATGCTTTGCAGCAGCCGTTGTCACGGGGACACGGGGGGAACCGTTAAAGTGTTTTATTTAAATGTGGACTACTCGCGTAAACTATAGACAGTATACAATTAGAATTTCTAAGCTACTCTTTAAAAAGCACTTTTAACGACTTAAAGCGTCGGGTCGTTAGTTAAACTAGTTAATTATTTATTTCACGTTTTAAACCGTTAAAAATGTTCTATTTAAATGTGTAACACTCGCGTAAACTACAGATAATATTTAACGGCGTTCTAGCCAACTGTCATATAAGTCTGTCTTCAAATACTTAGTTGTACAATATCGCCGATCGTTCAGTATCTATACTCATGCGAGGACAAAACACGAAGTTCTATATAAAAATACAATGTGGGTAGGTAGGACTATTTTGAATGATTGCATTTGTCATTCGAATGGAAATGAGCGATGCGATCATCGCTTTTACATAACAAAAGACAAACATTGAATACAAATTCCCACAACAAAAAGGCTGATCTCTACTGCAGCTTTTCATTATGTTCGTTTCAATCCATTAACGTCCCATTGCTGGGTACGGGTTACCTCATGGGGAACCATTTAGACCCACCATGCCTCACTATCGGTTCTAACTAGCACCACTAAAATAGTGATTATAACTGAGACCAATGCCTTCGGTGCACAGTAATATATATCGTAATGTTTATTAATTGTATGAGGCCGCTAGAAGCAGGTACCTAACTGCAACTTTATGACTTGACTTATTTATGTTTTATAGTGTAAAAATGTTAACCAAGAGGCCGGTGATCAAAAATTGTTAACATAATTATTACACAAATTAAATTAACAAGTTAAATTCGTTTCTGCTTAAGTTCATTGCGCATTTTTATATTCCGCCCTATTGAAAATTATGTTTTGTGTTATTAGGCCACTCTGGCTCTAGCAGCCTAAACAATCTAAATTAAATAATTCTATTGCCAAAGAGAAATTAGAAAAAAAAACATATTTTGGGCGAGTTGCATGTATCAACAGAGTGAAAACATTCGACGATGAGGTGTAGGACACTGTAGCTTAATTGGTTGGGTTAGTTTAAGGCTGTAGATGCCTGTTCAGGTCCTGCCTGGTTTTTAAGAAGCAAGTCCACCCCACTTAAATCTATCAAAAAACCGTATTTACATCAACAATAATCCACAGAATCTCTAACCTCGAAAAACAAAGTACTACAAAGGAAGCCGCAAAAACCTAGTAGCTATCGACTACAATTTATTCAAAAAGATTGTCTCACTCAGATGTCTAAACAACGAAATCTACGATTACGTAACATCTAATTTACCGCTGTAACGGCCGATTAGTAATCAATTAATGGCTATTAATTTACCTTATCTGCCTATTGTACATAACGTGTTCTGCCATGTCCGCGTTAGCTGCAGCCGACAGCAAATTGGCGTAGAGAACGTGCGACTCCGGATGTGCAGGCGGTGGTGATAGACACTGCGGCCTGGCCCCCTGGTAGAAGGACACGCGGACCTTTGAACGCTCCGAACTGAAAAACACCATCACTTCAACAAACCGTTCACAATAGTATGATACAATCACAATACAAGCAGCCGCTTAGCTAGCTCATTAGAAAACAATAGTGGGAATTAAAATTTTACTAACACATAGAGAATATTGTGACGTTGGTATTATCATAGATAAGTATAAGGACCCTCAACAGAAACGTGTTCTCATCGTACTATTCAGCGAATTGCGTCAACATTTAAGTAAGGGACTTACAGTAAATTTATTAAAAATCTTATTGAAATAAGCAACAGCATATTCACTTAATATATATCATGAAATTATACCTAATCGCAGTATGTACTTGACAAAAAAAAATTAAGTGCAAACCGCATCTTCAGTGAGTTTCAAAAGGATTCACAACAATTTTAGTATAATTTTATGAGAAGCCAACTTATTTGATTATAATTAAATAAGGTTTCATTGTAACTAGATAACATACTAAAAAAGAACATTAATAATCTAGTAGAAATTTAATAAAAAGTCCCACAAATCATCCCACGGGGTATTAGTCGTCATCAGTGAGATTAGTGTAATATAGAACCATAGTGAATGTCAAGTACAAATCATTGAAGTTACATAACATTCGCTCAGTGATCATATCGCATTAGCATCAGAGCTATACAAATGCAAGGCGTGTATTAAAATTGAAGGTAATTCAATGACAGCCCCAGTTCTTTTATTAGCTGATGACCAAGCCACCACCCACATGTTTATTAACATCAATATAAAACATCTTTTAGCCTAATGTACTTTTGACAACTGTAATTTTACTGTTTGTGAAAAGTCAGTCAAATCCTGCTTAGCGAATGTTGGCAAGTCATCACTCTATTAAACATAGACTTAGAGTTAACCACCAGATATCCTCTATTAAATTTAATATACTCTTGTAAGTACATTTTGTTTAGAGTTTTATCCAAACAGGTGATGTTGTGCTCATATGTAAAAAAAAAGCTTTTGGTAACTTTCACACCAAATACATATTGTTAAACTCAGTTTCTCATTTAAACTATTTTTTGGGTAATTAAACAATAAAAAGTAATTTTAAAAATGCCTCAGCCAACATATTTGATAGAATATCGGCTTAGTTTGACAAGTGAATTAGTTGTTTACAAGATGTTAATGATTGCTTCAACATATTCAATGACAAAATCAAATATAAAGTGATGTTATGAAGGAAATAGTAAGTAGAAGTAGCTATACGTTTTCATAAACATGAACAATTTAAAAGATCTAGAAGAATATTTTCGATGATCAGAAACATTTAGAATGATAATTCAGATTTGGAATAAAAATGGAGATGACGTTTCGCGGCGCGGCCTTGCAACGGTTACAAAGCCGCCGCGCAGGGCGGGTCTCCGGTCCCCAATTTAGGGTTACGATCGGCGATATTCGCATTATAAATAGAGCAACAGAACGTTACCCAGCACAAATGCATGATTTACTTTGTAAATAATGACCTTGTTATCCAGACAAGGTAGATCTGAAAGTAGTTTTACGCCTAAAACTGCGTTTTCATGACGTCATTTTCGACTTTCCGACATGATGAAACCGAAACAAACTGAATGGTACAGGTCAATTTATGTTTACGACTAGATTTATTAGAGTAAAAAGCGTTGTTTAAATCTCAAAAATAATACGAAAGCTTTCAATTAAAACCCGTTGCGCAGCACGAAAATGACGTGAAACGTATAAAACGTACGTACCTCAGATATACAACTTGCTTACACGACTTGCCACCGGTAATCACTAGCTAACTTCGAAAGCCGTTCAATACTATCCACTCGTAGTATTTACTTGAACACAAAATGAACACATCCACGCAAATGCGACTTAGTTTCAGACATAAAGTGCTGGAATAGTTTGGCGCGCCGCGCGTCTCGCCACTACATAACATCGATCTCCTGACTTCACGGATACTAGAAGCGGTCATGCACGGCCCTGTCGAATGAATAAAATCGCGAAACGAATTCTAAATCGTGTCGTGAGCGAGACTGGCTCCGTTGTCGTTCACTCGTTCAGTCGTTCTCTATAGTGACATTGACATATTGCGACTTTCGAAACAAAATCATTCTACATATAAAAATTATAGATACCTATATAGGTATTTTTCCGTTAAAATAATGAAATGTATTTAATATTTACTCCTTTAATAAATCTGTTTCATTGTTAAAATTTTCCTGTATTGTAGCAATGTTACAAGAGTTTTCCGCTACTGCTCACTAGATGGCAGCTCAACAAATTATTTACGTACGTTATCAAAACAGTCTACTATGTAAACGCGGCAATAAAAACATACTATTATAAATAACATGTGTAATTAAATGTAGCTGTGTAAATGTTAACGACATATCAAAATATTGCATTAGTTTGCTTTATGCGAAACGTTTGTATAAAAGGGAGAATTTCTTAAGAACAACCATTTTAAAATGTTATTATTACAATTTTATTTACAATATTAGTTGAATATTATGTGAAAATTACTTTATTTTGAAGACCTTAAGAAATAATTTGCAAGAGATTTGCTACTTATTTTCACCAGCTATTTGGTATATACATTTTGACAGTAAATATAACAAAAATACTTGTGAGCGTTCTAAGTGTATTTTTTAGAACGGAGATAAGTTTTATCAACTTAAGAAAACTGTAAAAACAACGGTACGGAAGGCTTAGTGATAACCATGAACTTGGTCTTGATAGCTGCCAGAAATCGTGAACCCGTCACGTGTTAGTTTATAAATAACAGTGAAAAATGCTTCTTTCTCGTGAACTACGCTCTTACAAAATCCGCTAACTTTATAGCCTGCTTTATGCAAATAATAATTTGCTGTAAGTAATCCATATAATTGCCTTTTACAGAGGAAATTTTACGTATGTTTGTTTCACTCCAGCGCTTAAAATACTTCTTCAATTTCGATTCGAAAACATTTTAAACGATTTATAACGTGTAATTAACGAATGTATATCGCGTTTTAATCCGATAAAAGTATTTTTTTATTTAAAATATCCTCTTACTTTGTTCGCTTTTATGATTAAATCTACGCGTTATAGTTTTTTTAGATTTAACTATCGGTTACGTTAGTTCTTGCCTGCTGTATCACTTACGTCACGTAATTGATTTTACGTGCGTGTGAAATATAGATCGAGTTTTATAGGCCAGCTGAAGATTAAAAAGGGGTCAACCTCGGAATGAGAAGACAGTAAAGTGAAAACCCGTTCACACAAACAGTGCAAACAGATGGTCCCACAGCTGGGAAAGGTTTTCAGAGATCAGACCCACCAGGCCTCATGATTTTTGCTGTATAATGTGTGTACGAAAGAATAATATTTCTTGTTATACACCTGTAAACGTACGCTCGCCTCAATAACATCGCAATCTATACTAATATTATAAATGCGAAAGTAACTGTCTGCCTGGCTTTAACGCCGAAACTACTGAACCGATTTAAATAAAATTTGGTACACAGATATTCTAGAGTCTGAGAAAGGACATAGGCTACTTTTTAATGCCAAAAATGGATTGTCAGGGGTTGAAAAGGGAAATGAAATTTTGTATGGAAATTCGTGATTTTTGAAGTTAGAACAATAAAACCTTCTTCTTTGGCTTCTTGGAAATGGGAGTTAGAGTAGGAGTGATGTGAGGTGAGAGTGGGAGTGTTGCGGCAAAGTAGCACTTATCACACAGATTGGCTGCCTTGAATGCGCCCTTTTATAAATAAATAAAAAGCCTAACTAATTAAAATTCAACCCAAAGCCATTATTCCACGCGGGCAAAGACGCGGGCACAGCTAGTCAAAATATAAAGCTGCTTTGGTTTCGTAAATATTTTTGAATAAGACCACACACACTTAAAACAATCTCACCGACGTTCAGAAATAAATCATAACACGAAATTATTGTCTCTATTTACGTTATGAAAATAAACGTTCACGTAAGTCATAATATTTATAATATGTAGATATAGCTCTATGCAATCGCCTTTGCGACAAACATATGAATAAAACATACTCATTAAAATAATAGAACATACTCGTCTTCGACGGGCGTGTATGAGAATGCAGTCTCTTGGAGTTTCGGCGGTGGGCTGCTTTCTGGCTCTTCTTGAAGAGGACTCTCGTAGATCAGCGTCTCCACCATAGATCCTTTGCTGCTGCCGAAGGACACCCTGCGAAAATGCGTGAATTAATTCCAAATTCTCCAACATGACTATCGAAACAATAGTAGTGTATTTAAATACATATATAATATTAATGTTGCACTGTCTTATTATAAAATTTCTATTATCTGTGTATTTTTTAAAACACAGATTATCAGCTCGGTCGCAACCAATTGTGTGTTAGAGTTATAAATATTTAGTTTCGGCCGTTCAGTGTCCACTGCTCGACATAGGCCTCCATAGACTTCGTCGTAGGTCGTTCGCTAGTTATTATATATATATATATATATATATATATATATATATTTGTTTTTAAATAAAGCAGAGGAGTAAAAAATAAATTATAATTTCGAATTATGTACTACTGTATATCATTGTGTAAACGCTTAAGTGAAAAATTATTTCTTGCGTAAATAAATGTCTTAAACCACATATTGCTTAGTCGTTTGAGTAAAACATAAAAACATTAAGGTTTGACGTATGGGTGTTTTTTACTTTTTCACGGCAAAATGTCTTGAACAATTGGATGATATCAAAAATTGGAACCTGGGTAACTATTGACTGAATACGTATTAATTTGAACATGTATCAGTACCGTGCGACGAAAAATGAGTTTTAATATTTTTATAGTAGCCGAAGAACATTCTGCAACGTATTTGATCTGCTCGCTGTAGTCGCTGTCGACCCATGGATATGGTCTTTGTATATACCGAAAACAGAAACATTGTCTGTAGATTGATTTACAGTTTAAAAATATTTCTCACAAAAATGACTTCTCAATGACATTAAAATGTCAAATTTAAAATATTAAATGCCATTGATTTTCGGAAGTTTCGACTGCTAAGAATTTACAATCTTGATTTTATAATTTTAGTAAGTACATAGAATTTTATCTTAGGCATATATGTTTTAAGGAACTTTCATTGGCATTTTGTAATTACAAAATTGTTTACCGTACTATCAGCTCGTTTTGTATAGTCTATTGTAAAATAACACTAGTAGAATCTAGTTACAAACTGTTTCGAATGCTTAGACTTTCTAATCAACTTAACTTGTAGCTTTTAAAGTTCTGGAGCGTGCTCGAGTTTTTGTAGTGTCGATTCAGTAAAAGATCGTTCGGGTCTTTGTTATGCTTGGCACACTTTACTTTCGGTGTCAATCTCTGAACAATCAACAGACTAAACAAGTTTTGAACAAGTGTAAAATGAGAGAACAAAACGTTGTAAAAATCAACGGGCTTTGCTCTGTATTTTGGCTTTTTCACAATTACATGTTGTTGATTGAAAATCGATTTACGACTCGAGCAGGACTTGAACTGGCATCCACGGCGTTGTGTGCTATCGCTCTGACCGCGTTATATGTGCTTTACATTATTGTACATTCAAATTATAAATCTATTAATTGGATCTTTCTTCAGTGTTCGCTATAAAAAACAGATAAGATCGTCCAATTTCGTATTATTAAACTTCATTCAATTACCTACCTTATCTAGAGCTAAAAAACTTTTGACAGATTTTGTTAATTCAAACGCGGATGATTTACATTTTTAGTTTATTATGAAAGATTACTAACAAAACTATTGCTAGAAAAAATCATTCGCTTTTAGGTTTCTGTCAAAAGAAAATAAGTATTCTCGTCGTCCTAAATGCTATTTTACTTTATACCAGTCTGAAACTTTATCTTTCACATGATGGCATTACATAAATTAAAAATCCATAAGAAATTGTAAATATTTACAGCTCGGGCGTTGAACCGGCATCCTCATCGTTCCGTGCTGCTCTAACTGTGTTGGTCTTTGAAGTTAAAGAATAAAATTATGTTTTCCTATATACATTGTTTCCAGGATGAGCTCAAGTTTAAATTTAAATTATTAGTGTTATATGATAGGTTAAGAGAACTTTTCATCTGACAGCTTATTACACTGACAAAATTGCTCAACTTGCCATATCATAAAACGATGACGTCACTTTAGTCAAACAGAACTCCCAGTGTTTTGTAATTAAACACTTTTTACGATCAGTTCCCGATTGATATATAACTTTTAAAACATGTTGCTTTCTTACTAAATTTAACTTGCTTTATCGCTACATATTATATTGTGAATATCTATACTAAGAAATAAAGCTGAAGAATTCGTTTGTTTGTTTGAACGCACTAATCTCAGGAACTACTGGATCTCATCATGAAACTTAATTATATAAAGATGAAAAGGAGGTTTGCAAATAAATTTGGATGCCTAAGACACAGCTAGATTCCAAATAAGCGAAACAATTTACAGGAAGATTGAAAATTTTAAACCAAGCCAATGAGCTAAAACCCAATTAAATCTGTCTCCACTCGTCCACTACCGACTCGAAACCAGTTAACTATTAAGGCAGATGAGGAGTTGATGTAGATATTATGGCTATCGCTCCATCTTGATGTAGAAAAATCGTGACCAGGTAATTTGACCTGGATGCAAAAATAAACCCACTTAGGTACCGTACCGTTATACCGTTTTTCGAGTTAAGCAAAACGTTGTTAACTCCGGCGCAATGTTGCATCTTATATTTCACTAGCCCCTCTTCTCATAAATAGTCCTGTTAGTCTGAAAAACTGGACATTAAATGGGTAGAACTATCGGAGATCCGAAGGTGGAAGAAGCCGTAAAGTTCAATCCTGCTTCGGTTTCAATAAGTGGATTTCCGAATATCCAAAGTCAAAATAGGTTGACGGCACATCTTGTTTAGATGTTATGTGGCTGGGAGACTTCACCTTACATCTAGTGTACCGCGTGCCAGTAGGTAAGTAATATAATCAAAAATCTCAAACGCCTAGAAAACTTAATAAACATTTAAACTAGACGTACAGCATAACAAACGGTGTTTACAAAACAAAATCACAGCTAATCCTACGCTTATTGATTTCGAATATTCGATATTCGAATATTAGTTGTTCCTCTAAAGCAAGCAGTTCAATACCGCCATCTTTTATTAATACAAAAGGAATCGAAATCAAAAAATTAAATCGATTATAAAGTGAGAAATATATGGCTCGATCCTGCCCGAGTTTTAATTTATATAGTGCCATGTGAAAAATATTGAAGATAGATTTTATCTAAATGCCTAATGCAAATCTTATTCTTATGCTTACACATGAAAAATGTTTATAATAAATTTTCAAAACGAAATTCTAAAAGAATCGTTGTATGTATTTGACATACCTACTTGTATGATAGAGCGACAGTGTAAATCAATCTTGTACACTATTCTTTTTTAAATTCGTTATCGTTCCGATTGAGTTTTTATGGTATTATGGTTTGGGCGAAGCACTGCGAGGGACTGGTGCTTTGCCTTAAGCCACAGAGAGAGGTGCAACGCGAACCACCTACTGATGAGAATTAGAGGTGCGCCGAGTAACGAGTACCGAGTTTTACTCGGCTACATTTTTTGTCAACCGAGTACTCGGCCGAGGAACGCGGTTCAATCAAATTCCCATTTCGCGCGCGTAAACAAGTACAAACAGGTTCGCGCGGGCCAAGACGTCGGCTCGATCTCATGTCCTCGTAATTTTGTTTCATTACTCATTCATTAGCATAGTTTTGACTTTGTCAATTGAAATTTTCTAATATTTCCTAAATTACTTACAAGTACTTTTAAATTAACACGGTTATTTTAATTACCTACATATATTGCTTAAGTATACTCGTTATCAAATAAAAGTATAACCGAATTATTCGGCAGAGTACGAGTATTAAAAAACCTGCCGAGAAACCGAGTATTAACCGAGTACTCGGCCCATCTCTAATGAGAATATTTATTTGCAGCAATGGCGAAGGAGGGTGGCGTAATAAAATATGATCCGAATACAGAAGCATTCCAAATGCGAGCGCAGTGGAAAAAAGTAGATATATGTCGCAAGCAGTGGTTCGATCGTTGGAGTTGGTTGCTAGATGAACGAAAGTTAGTAACACGTGATATTGGAGCATAGAATTAGGTTACGTTTACACTTGAGTTATATAATAATACTGGCTGTGTGACTTTATCCGTGTGGAATAGTTATTTTGAAGATAAAAAATGTTTTTGCAAAGTTACTCGTCAGCTCTATAAATTATTAGCTATGGCCATCAAAATTTGGTTTTGCAAACCTCCACATCTTTAAGAATTTTAGCTGTTACCTGTCCTCTTGGTGTAGACGTAAAAATATTAAAGTTTTCAAACGTAGTTCCAATTAAAATATGATTGTTTATATTTGAATATATTATTTTTTGACTATTGATTGGTTTAGAACAGTTTGGGCATAGAAATTTGTTTAAGCAAATCTCTCCTCATCTTGAAAAATTTTAACTGTCACCTCTACTCTTTAGTGTAGCTATAACATAATAAAATCTTCTAACATAGTCCCAATAACGATATTTGAATATGTTTTTTTTTATACCAAATATTTGCCAGAATGTTTTTAAGAGGTCAAAATGAGACTGTAGAAAGGCGCTATTTGACGTTACATTAGAAACCTTAGCGTACCGTAATTCTTATCAGACCTTTGTTAATACCACAACTGGAAATAGACCTTGTGAAATGTTGCTAATATACATGTAAGCAGATGCTTCATTTCTTTGAATTTAGAACAAAAAACATTTTATCGTGATTACTTACAAAGTAACTGCAATCATGTACCTACGTATTTATGTCAATATTACGGATTAAAAAGCGTCATGTTGTGAAACAAAGGTCGTGCTTGTTTTATAGACTTTTTAAAGCCTTAGAACCTTATTTCATAATAAAGGCACTCACGTAACAAACTATACTTTCGTTATGAGCTTTATATCTTATGTCATGTTTTTATGAGAACTATAAAGATATTAATTAGCGCGACCCACCTTTCTTTGCCGAAAGTTTTGTGTTTATGCGAGTAGTACACATTGAACAAAATATTTTTACGGCTCACAAAACACAAATATGTTATTTGACTATTGATAGACTGTGGTCCCCTGTGGCCTTAGGTTCTGCGAGGTTCCGAAACGAAAAATAAAGAGTTAATTTACGAGTATATTTTAGATTTACGAAACATTTAGTCAACCAAATCTTATTCCAGTTATAGATATTTTAACGTTTAAAAAATAGAGAAACACATGCCCCGTTACCCTCGTGGGGCTGGGTCAAACACATATCTGTGTCCGTTGCACTGATCGGTTTTACAGGTTGATCAGGCTTCAGTGCCCTGCAGGATCTTAGCAATCAGTTGTTTCCGAATCCAGGACCTCTTGTGCTTATAGCAATTCCCTTAGCTACAGAGGTATGTAGCAGGTCGTAAAAGAAGTTGTGTTAGTTTTTAGGTTAATTAACGGTAGCACCTAAAGGCTGAAGATTAATTTTTATGTAGCCTTACCGTGAACAAAACCTTTTCATTGTAACAACGTAATCCTAGCAAATTACATTACTCGTTATAAAATAAGTCTTCCTTTTCATATACTGCTAGGGTTTATCGCGAATGTGGTAAATTCAATGATTTTTATCGTGAAAGCCATTTGAAGTAAATAATGTTTCGATCTATATTGACCGTGAACTTTGACAATACATCGAGTGTTGGAAGTAACTGCGTCGTTAATTTATGGGAAATAAAAAATATCACAATTGAAGTAATAACTATTTCTCCAAAATGCTTGGAAATTTGAGCATTATTTCGATAACCGTCTTTGAGATAAATCGAACTTGCTGTACTGCCCGAGCAGCGGCCAGCAATAGTTGTATGTAAATCCACTACGATTGTGTTCAGCCGCTAAATAAATTACAGTGTAAATTCGTACTTGTCGTGTAATTTAAAAATGGAACGGTCTTCTATTCGCAACATGGAGTCCAAAGAGGTAACTTATCAAAGGTTTAATTTAAATTTAGAACTGGCTTGCACGTAGAAAGCTGTTTAGTAAAAAAAAACTTTGGCGCGTAAAAAACTATTATTAGTTGTTTGTCAACTTCGTCATTGCTTTTAAAGTTCTGAATTGTACTACTTTGTTTTAATTTCCGCGCATTATTTGAGATAAGTACCTACTATACAAGCACTGGCTCCAACTAGGCAATTATGGAATAACGTATGTAAAGTAACGTTACGTGTTACGTTACATACTGCAATAATGTATTATTGTGATATTTTCACATTCAAACTGTGAATTTAAATCTAGACACAAAGTAAGTAAAAGACGTACTATATCAAATTTACATCATGATAATTATGTAGCTTACGTAAACAAACGAGACGCGAATCAACAAACGAGACCGGACAAAGATTCGTCTTTCACTCGGGAACGATTGCCAATAATTTGCGTCAAGTCATAAACAAATTCCATGATAAATACAACCAAAAACAAAATGTTCTAACAAACATACAAACAGTGTACAGTAATCAAAGCAATTACATACAGAAATATGTAACGTACAGAGTAAATTTTTGTGAATCATTATTATATATTATATACATGTTAGTAGCTGATCCGGCACATGTTGTTTGCAACAATAACATGCAATGTTGGTAATACTGCATTCATTTTAAACAAATTTATATTACCATAAAAGCTGTTATTGCGAGATAGTCTCAAAAGATTAGCATACATTTAGAGAAGAAACATTCTTTCATACATATTTTTTGGTATTTTGAACAGTTTTCGCAGCGCACGTGACGTGAAGCCCTAAAAAATTTATAAATTTCCCCGTCTGTCTCACGTTTTTCGCTGTTTTTCTATAAGTTGTTTACAAACTGTCACAACGGTTTAAAAGTTATGTTTTTGAATTGTATATTGATATTTATGTGTACGAAAAAATACAAAAAAATAGATGATCCAAATCTAAAGCCTCGATAAATGCACTAACCGACACAAAAAAAAAATTCAAACCAGTAGTTCCTGAGATTAGCGCGTTCAAATAAACAAACATTAATATTAATATACATTTCAATGTTTTATTTTCAGACAAGCAATTCAGGTGTCAGATGCCATTCGGTTAGAGGCAGCCGACGCGCTACCACATGTGATGGCCAAAGCTGAAACTACAAAGTCATTAAAACCAGTACCTATCACATCAACCGGTGTTATCGGGTGGCTGGCTGCCAAGTTTGTAATCACTTTTTTGCATGATCAAATATCGCTCCGATTTTAATTCGCATTCCATGGCTGTATAAGTGCATCTATACTAATATATAAAGCTGAAGAGTGTGTTTGTTTGAACGCGCTAATCTCAGGAACTACTGGTTCGAATTGGAAATGTTTTGCGTTCGTTAGTGCATTCATCGAGGAAGGTTGAAGTTTATAAAACATCGCGCTGTGACTGGGAAAATTATTCATCCATGTGGGCTTCCGATGCGTGCGCTGCGAAAACGGTTCATGGTACCCAATATATCTATGAAAAATTGTTCCTCAAATAATCCTCATAAAATAATGACTTGCAACAACGAGGGGTAACAACCCACGACATCAACCGATTAAATTTGAAGATGGAAGAGGAGGTCTGCAAAAACATCTCACGAAGATGCGCTATGGACCTATTTTAACTTTATATATTTGGAATGCTCTTCAGAACTTAGTAAAAATATTTCAAAAAATATAAGGTATTGAAGCGTCGTTATAGGTCCATATTGCATATCAGCTGTAAGTTGTATTTCTGGTTAAAACGATTAATTAGTGAAGTCATTAAATTTGAAAAAAACAATGAATCTTTTTACGGAACAAGTGTTGAGTGCGCACGTGAATTTATGAAGATTTTTCTACACGCAATCGTCCCACTTGTAATTTAAGGACGAAAAAGATCTTGACACTACATCGTTAACTCATTAAAAGTCCCAATTACACTTTAGAAGATATTTGAATAATCTTTCTTCTAAACAAAGCGGGGATTTCGTTTTTCCAGTACACAAGAAATTTATTGCTGCGCTCAATTAAAATTAAATTTATTTTAACCGTTTTTATAGACTATGTGTGTAAAATTATAGATTCGAATTTCATTTATTATTAATCTGCGTAAATTCTAACTTTAATTTTTATATTCAACATTCAATTATAATACATGGTGTGGTGGTGATACGACATTTTTGGAATACTGTATTTAACAAGACATCCTAAATATTGAATTGAACTACAAAACAAATCACTAAAATATGCACATAATAAATTATAAAATAATGTAAAAAATAACACACATCATGTCATCTGTTACTTAAGTAGTTTAAATATGTGCGTTTTTGTTTAAAAGTTATATACGTTCAGTTAAGGATTCTGAATACACTAATATTAATTTTGATTTTTTTTATAATAATAACAGATATTGAATATATCACGTCATTCACCCAAAATTGTTAAAATTTTACATTTATTCTATAGAAATAAAAAATAATGATTTATGTTAAAAAAATTTTTTACAGACCGAATTGCCAATTGGAAATCTACACTTCCTGGCTGACTAAAGTACCAGTGCGTCTACCAGACACGTGGGATGACAAGAACTACCTCGGCTAAATTTAACAGATTATTAACCTTCTAAATTGTCTCTAATTGTTTAATTTTTACCTACTGGCAGTTCATAAAAAAATAAATACTGCGCAATATAAACTCTATGGTTTCAGATTCTATATTTGAATATCTTTTCAATCTCCAATCACATTACGCGGGCAACGCTTCATACGAAATTCATGAAGGCGTTCTATTGATAACGGAATGTTTATTTTTTCTGTCTCTCTTATCTGTGGAGTAAATTTTATTCCTAGATTCGCTGTCTCGTTATTAATTGCTCACAGTTTCAATACAAAAAATTATTACGTAAATTGTTGAAGCCAATAGAATATATTTTAATCTATACTATTTTAAAACTGAAGCGTTTCCTTGTATGAATCTCAGAAACTACTGAATCGAATTGTAAAATTCTTCAATTGGAATTTTAAAATTACATAGTACTAACCTCTTCAAGGATGTATGTTTATTTCCATTACTGAGTAGCTTATGTTTTGGCTTGTCCAGAACCCCCGAGGGAGTAGACGACGATACAGTAAGATCACTAGCGAAGGAACTTGACGATGACTCTTTAGATATATTTGTCCGCGCTCGTCTTGCCATCGATTCTGGACTGCCGGGACTTGCAGCCAGCTCTAACGCCATCCGCCCCTTGCCCGGCACCGGAGGCGGCTTCTCCTCAACAGGCACCATGTAAGACAACATGCCTGATTCACCAATCAGTGTAAATATCCACAAAATGCTCTTCCATAATGGCCCTTACATTTGTGTCTACTGCGCTATCTCGTCTATCAAAATCTTCAGATCTGAAAGATAATACCAAGTTTTATTCTCTATTGATAAAGTCGAATAAACAAGTAGTGGATTGTCTTATCTATTTGTTAGCATTGGTAGACTTAGGTCAAGGTTTAAATTCTTGTTATTAGAATGTTAAGTTCATGTAAATATGAAAGTTTGTTGCGTATCACTGAATTAATATTGTAAACTACTATTGTAAATATGAACGATTAGATTTGTACATATTGAAAATCTTTCTACGTTATGGCATCATATAAAAATCTAGTTGAAAAAGTAGATTGAAAAATAATTACGACGCGAGCGGGACTCGAACCGGCACCCACAGCATGTTGTCGAATTGCTTCAACCAGCTACCGTGTCTCGGACATGTTATTAGGACAGGTCTATTTTTTTCATCAAGAAAGATTTTTAGTCTCTTATTCTATCACGTGCAAACTTTCGGATGTTCTAAAACTAAGGATGTTGTTACTCTTAGCTGCAAAGGGCTTGACTGTTTTGAATAAATTTAGATGTGAACCGTTGTAAAGTTTTAATGTATGTACGTTGCGACTAGTTTTATTTCGGTAGTGTTGTAATTAACGGAGTATTTTCCGATCTCTATCGTAATGTATAATTAGGGGCAATATATTTTAATGTGGTCTACGTATTGTTTCTAATAGTGATGGGAGAGTCTTATAATAATTGTTTACAAGCATTGTGTTACCATTCGTTACGCTGCTCTAATTAATGTCTTATAATGATTACAGACGACGCCGCCCACGAGTCTTCCCTACATTGAGCTATGACCCAATTACTCTGTACACAATCTATAGTGCAATCGAATCAAAAATCATTTATTCTATAGCTTAGTATACTTGAGGTACCAAGAACACATAACAATTGAAAAGGGAATGTTCCATCCCCACAATATGTAATTAACTCCTTTTTTGGATTTAGTTGGACCTAACGTCTAGACTTTCCATATGATGACTACTAACCGACTTCAAATTGAGACAATATTGAATTTAAATGAAACACTCTAACGGTAACGGTCTAAACGCGATATATTAGTTAAACTTATTTGAAAATGATTTTTAACTTCAGCCCGACGTTTCAGATGCTTTGCAGCAGCCGTGGTCATGGGGAGACCACGCTGCTCGCTACTCGCGTAAACTATAGACAATATTTAATGTAAAAAAAAATATCAAATTTAATGTACTAGCTATGATACCGTGATTCTTGCGAAACTCAGGGCGAACATATTTTTGTGTCCGCTGCACTGATTGATTTTACCTTTTAAAGTAGTAGATTACATTGTGCCCTTTCCGAAACTATTCCATAATTTCCCAGTTATTGAAACCCAAGACCTCTCAAGTCCATTGGAGCTAATAGAAGTGGTATATGAGGCTGCTAGAGCCAGAATGGCCTAATAAAAAAAACCTGATTTTCAATAAGGAGGAAATTAAAAATGCGCGAATGTGCCATAGATTAACATTTTTCGACTGTAAAATATAAATAAGTCAATACAATCTGCCTGGAAGAAATCCTCATAAGGCCTTTGCACCAACATGTTTTATTTAGTACATATAATTTTAAGTGTCAATGTTTGTGCAATAAAGAGTTTTATTATTATTTTAATTACAATTGCAGTTAGGCTACTCTGTCTCTAGTGGCCTCTTATATTATGCAAAATAGAGATATTACGTATTATGCAAAATATCGATTATGTATCTACGCCATGTTTACCAGTGAACCCCTCCCTAGTGCATGGTCGTAATTATCATTTATCCATTATACGCTTCGTCGTACCTCAAGGTTAGGTATTACATAACATACTCTAGCGGCACTTTGGTGCACTACCTTTATTTGATTTTTCTAAAGCAATGTACGGCTAATAATCAACGGGTCGTGGGCCCGATCCCCATTGGGTCATTTTTCTAATAATTGATTGAATAAAAAAAAGCGTAATAAGATTTAAACATTTGTTGACGACAGTCGGGTTTAGTCACTTGCTTATAAACAGTGCTATAAACAACCGTGTCTAGTGTTTAAACTGTTCTATTCTCTGCGTTAATGAATATATAATTTTGAAATTATTTTTATTACTTCAATCACTGTTAAAATTTAAATAGGATCGTATACGTATCGGATAGTAGATCATAGGATCGACATACACCAATGGTCAATATAAGGTTGTGACGTCACATGCCGTATTGCAGCGTTACTTCGCAAAAATGTGTTTGGGCATAAATTTTTTTAATTTGATAAATTTCAACACAGACGTATCATAATTCAAAAATACAATTTTTCTGGAGTTCCTTAACACCTACCAAATAATATAAAGTAAATTTTGAAAATCAGTCAAATACCTCATCCACAATGCTCGATCCAATCAAGTTTTCCCGGGAATCGACTAGGCACTTAGCACAACGATGTTACTTCACAACTGAACTGGCTGTTGAAAATGTTTTTTCTATTACTGAATGACTTATGTTTGCTCAAGTGTAACAATTTTACACACTGGTTATATCATTTTGTCGCTTCTAATTAGTCATACATTTTTTATTCGTCGCGGCTTGGAGACACGGACGTACTATATAAACAGATGCGGAATATGATAACATATTAAGAAACATCTACAATTGTCATTAATTGTTATTAATAATCACGCATTCTAATATTATGAAGCTGAAGAGTTTGTTTGGACGCGCTAATCTTAGGAACTACTAGTTCGAATTGTTTTTGTTTGTCGTGTAGATGTTTTATCAAGGAGTGCTATAAAGCATCACGCTGCGACTAACTGGAGCGAAGAACAACAGGACTGTGGGAAATTTGAAAAAGAAATCTTTGTGGGCTACCGCTGCGAGAACGGTTCAAAATATAAAAAAAATATGTAGGCATGAATCTATCTCTCTTATCACTTTAAATCTAACAATCCGCGACTATATATATCCTTTAAGATTAACTTGCAAGAACGACGGGACGCGGACGAGTTCGTGGGTAACAGCTAGAGTATAATAAGAGTATATAAAATATATATAAGTAGCTACCGTTTTGTTTTATAATGAACTTTACAATTTTGTCTTCTTTAAAGTTAACTTATTTACCGTTTCGTTTTGAGTATCTTTTCATCGCTGAAGTGCGGCGCGGTCGGAAAATGTTAGCCGAGTGCACTGTGGGAATGACAATATAATAGCATTTCTTAGTTACGGAAAGGTCAGGCACCTGCAGTGAACCTAATGAAGTATATGAACTGTGTAATTAGACGCTTCTATGCACTCTTTTATACTTCACATCGCATATAAGAGACAGGGACTTTGAATGTTATATTTATAACATACATATATATTTTTAATGAATTAATCAGGCGAGATATAAGAAGCCAAATACTAATCGATAGCGCATCTTGTTTAGATGCTATAGGCTGTGGTTTATCAACTATCATTAAAACAGATATAGAAATAAAAGCAATCCATCGCCGTACCTTACACCAAGAGCCGCCATATATAAGAAGGTGACAGATAGAAGAGAGTGACAGACCGGAAGGCGCCAATTTATATAGAAAATACAGATTATACAACAAATTTTTGTGATAATTAATGGTGAAGTACACTAGCTTTATAACATTTCGATATCTTCTAATATGTAAACTGAAGCTTTTCTATCTAAATGTGCCGTAATAAGTTAACAAATATATTTCGCGTTTTAATCCGTTAAAAGTGTGTTATTTAAAAATGTATTTGGGTTATGTACGGAAGCTAGCTAAAAACATAACGGTCTCCATTTATAATAATATCTTTATGGTTTAATTCAAGTTTAGTTTTGCTTAAGCATATTAATACCATTACCCCCCCCCCCATCCTCCATAAAACCCCAGCTCGTCTGCAGTGCTTTCGTAAAACTCAAACGGGCCCATAGCAATTTCCAAGACCCAAAGGGGCTTTAAAATTGAATAGCTATTGTAGCATACAAAAGGAATGGTTGAACAGCGGTGACTATAATAATAGTTTTTTATTTCGAGCTTTTTCTTGGAGAAAATGTGTTCTACTGTAATTGGGAGCGTTGCGCGTTTGCTAGGCCAGAGGCGCGTGGCCCTGGCCTATTTATTCTGCATGCTATAAAGGGTCAACAGACATAATTGATAATAACGATTTATCGCGGTACACCCATCCTGTCTTTTTGACGGCGACGCCTGAACGAAAGTGCTAAGTGGTAAACCTTAAAAAAGAAAGGAAGGACTATATTGCCGACACTGTAGATAATTTTGAATAAATTATATATATTTGAGTTTTAAACTAACCCCCTGTAAAAGTAATAAATTTCATATGCAATAGAAAAAAAATGTTTTTCGTTGTTATAGTATTTATGGCAAGAAAACTGACCAGAGATCTAGGTATTTCTCTCTTCTACCTAAATTTATGGTCGGTTTTCTTTTTTAATGTTTAATAATTTTTGTAACATAAATTATTTCATCTTCATACATATTTTTTAAGAATCATTTTTTCATACATATATTTTGGTAAGCCCTTTTCGCAACGCGCGCAACGGAAGCTTACAAAGACATTTATTTTTTTATATATCGCCTACAACCTTCCTCGATAAATGGTTTATCGAAAATAATTTTTAAACTCAAAGTAGTTCCGTAAATTTTAAACAAACTCTTGCTTTATAATATTAGTATAAATAAAAAAATATATAGTTAAATGAGAATTCAGTTGCCGTTTTAAAGTTATGACGTCATCTGATTATAGTATTTAAAATTTATTTGCTAAAGAGATTCTAAGCGAGAAAATGACTTCTGCTAATATATCTTCTTCGATAAAAACCGCTTACCAAAACCGCGGATGCAATATCCGATATTAATTAGTTTGTAACCCACATTGTCTCGTTAGTAACGCGTAATGGCTTATGATGTTTGTGTTACCTAA